ACAACAGGGATGGAAAAGACAGAACGATCTGCTCTTACGAGGGAAAGCAATGAGCATTTTGACTTCATAATACTGAGCAAAAATAGGCTGCTTTTCAACTCACTGTGAGCATCTTCATCACTAAATGAAATGACAGTGGCAAAGGGTGACCAAATTGCCCATCGCTTTTGCAAATCAGATTTAGACTGCAATGTGGGATACTTTGCTTATGTGAACTCATATTTCCTGGCTCCATCCCCTTGACAACTGAATTAATGCCTTGTGCAAAAAACAATCACTTGCTCCACCAAGCAGAACCAAGGCAGCTACAGAATAATTGTTTAATGGGAGGCAATCCATAAGAACATGACATACCCTTTGCTGGATCACATAATCAACGGTAGTCTAGCATCATCTCTCTCTTCAACTTGGTGCCCACTAGGAAGCCATACCCAGACCACTGGTCACACAACGACTTGGCCTGATGAGAGATCTCTTCCATCAGTTCTGAAACAGGCACCAGATTAAGGTAGACTGGTGTCACTGGTAGCTCCTCGCCCTTCATTTACATTGCCTCTGGCACTGGAGCCGATGGCAACTATCAGTCAGGTTTCCATCTTGATGGGATTTGGGGTTTTTTACTGGTCCATATTAGACACTAAGGCTCTGGTCCAGCACCTGTGCAGACTAACCTACTTTTGCCACAAAGAGAAATAGGTCTTTGCTTACAGGATATGATATCTTAATAAATAAGTAGCCCAATATGACTCCATAGCTGTGGGACCAGTATTTGCAGTTTCATTAATCTGTATCTCGACAAAATATGCCATCTCTAAGTATTTTCTAGATCCTTCAGGTAATTCAATGACATGCCTTCATTGCAAACTGATTAAGAGTCACACTGGAGGATCTAGAGAGTTTTTTTCTCTAGGCATTTCCAGTTCCTCCAGCATGACTCTATGATATCCTTCAGGGAGAAACGGTTCATTCAATAGGGTTTATTATTTCCAGGATTTCCCATGGCCACCCAAAGTCCTGGAATGTATGCCCCACAGATACAGAAGTCATACTGTATTTATAAATAACACCTGCAATTAACAAACATGCGTAACAGTATTCTGAAGGAACTATACTTGTTGATAACTATCTAACTCCATATACCTGTATTAAAGTTTTAGCATTTGTCCATTGAACATGAATAACTATGGAAACTAGCATATTTCTCTTTCCAAACTGTCGTTATTTCTCTCTGCTTCCTTTTAATCTCATCAATATCTTTGCCTTCAGTCCTTCCTTACAGGAAGTCACAATCTGTTTGATCTAAATGAAAATGCTTAACTTTGTCAAAAATCAAAATGATTGTCACACATTACATTTGAGCCATCTAGGCTACACAAAGAAGTAAGTCCTCCTGCTGTTGAAACTCAGTGCCATGTAGGCATTGAATCACACTTGAAAGATTGGAGAATGCCTCCTGATGCTACTTTCCCGAAGGGGAAACTTTTGAAAGATCATTGTATATCGAGGAGATAGGTCTGGTGTGCCAATTGTTCTATCCATTCCTATGCCTCCTAAAAGACTTTAAAAGTGTTCTTTTAGGGCTATTTTGCTGAATATTTTCAAGGGCAGCACTGTCCCGGAGGATATGGCCTTGGAATGCAGAAAGGTACTGTAATCAGTAAGTCGGCTGCTGTCCATTCACTTTGGCTTATTTTTTGTGTGGTACAAATCTTTCAAGTGTGATTTGATGTCTTTTGTGTGGTAAAAAAAGGAAAAAGGTGTGATTATTTGGGTATTGAGTTTCTTGCTATGTTATTAACTGAGCCATGTGATTGATGGTCACATTATCATAGGAGAAAGGACAGAATTTTTGTCTGTTCTCAATATCTTCTCTCCAGTACCAGTGCCAGCTGGTATCTTCCATGTCAGTGATGGATCTGATTCAGGTTTTAGTCCAGACTTTTAATGGCCCATGCCCTATATCCCAGAATATCAAGGCAGAAAATCCCACTATATCTGCCTTGAACTGATTTATATGAGTCCACACTCAGATAATGTGCCTTGATATTCTGGGATATAGGGCTGTGTGGAAGGGTCCTAAGGCACCCAACCCTATCCTCAAACTAAGTTTGGATTACTCTTTGGAAAGTCAGAAAACCCAGAGTGATTTGTCATCTCCACCTACATGGAAGCTACTAGATGCCAGTATTTCCTGGCAAGAATAGGGAAATATGGAAGTCTTACTCACTGCATTTGACTAAATAAACGATTGATTGATTGATTTGATATTTTGTTGTTGTTATTGTTAACTAATTTCAAGTTAATGTTGACTTATGGTGATGACCCTATGAATGAGAGTCCTCCAGGTCCCCCTGTCTTCAACCATTCTGCTTCGGTCTTGCAGACGTAAGAGTGGCCATGACTCTATTCAACTCTATTCTGTCTGAGTGAGGATGATCGTTCTTTCTAAAAAAAATTTTGTTGTGTCAGGAGACTGCAAGTCGCTTCTGGTGTGAGAGAATTGGCCCTCTGCAAGGACATTCTCCAGGGGACGTCCAGATGATTGGATGTTTTTATCATCCTTGTGGGAGACTTCTCTCATGTCCCCGCCTCTCCCCGGATTTGAACCTGTGACCTGTCGGTCTTCAGTCCTGCCGGCACGGGTTTAACCCACTGCGCCACCAGGGGTTCTTTCTAATGAGTCATGTCTATTCATGATATGCCCAATATGTACAAACTCAGTTTAGTCCCTTTAGCTTTATGAAGAGCTCAAGCTTAATTTTCTCTAGAACCCATTTATTTGTCTTTTAAGTAGTCCATGGTATTTGTAGAACTCTTCTCCGGCACCACGACTCAAATATGTTGATTTTCTTCCTATCTACTTTCTTCACTGTCCAGCTTTCACCACAATGCAGAGTAATGGGAAATATGATGGCATGGACAATCCTAACTTTAATGTCCAATAACACTGTATATCTTCAGGATATATGTACATAGTTACCTTTCTAAGGCAAATATTTCTATCCCACCCTATATACAAGGATATCAGGGTGGCATATGGTATATTAATATCAGTTTAGAACAGTTTGAGATGATTACAATATTTTTAAAAAGTTAAAAGCTTTTTAAAGTTCTGTTTCTTGAGGCTAAAAATTGTGCAAGCTGTAAATCCTGGTAAACAATTCTATCCCTATTGAAAATTTAGAACTACAGCTACTCTAACCTTGAAGAGGACCATATTATTCTTCCTACCCAATAGGGGTGTGGCTTCCAGGTTGAGGAGGGAAATGGTGCTAAACTACAGTAGATGATGTGACCCAGCAAAGGGTATGTCATGTTCTTGTGGAGAGCTCCTATTAAACAATTATTCTGTAGCAGCCTTTTTTCTGCTTGGTGATTGGTTTTTTCACAAGGCATTAATTCAGTTGTCAAGGGGATGGAGCCAGGAAATATGAGTTCATATAAGCACAGTATTGTACATGGCAGTCTAACATGGTTAAATGTACAGATTCATATACCAGCTTTTAAAAATCAGCTCTCGAGGCCCTCTAGCAGTTGGATTGAGAAAATAGTCAGACTGGTTTATCTCATCTTCCCATTTTTAAAATCCCAATTGTGATGAAAGCAAATCTTCATCGAAACCAAACTGAAACAAAATCCCCAACCATCTGTAGGAGTTCATCTATAATATAGAATACATTTTGACACCACATTAATTGCCATGGTTGAGTGCTATGGAATTATTGTACTTTATCAGAACTACTTGGAAAAGCATGCTAAAGACCTTGGAAAACTCTAAAATTCATGATTCCATATCATTGAGCCACAGCAATGAAAGTGGTATCAAACGGCATTAATTCTACAGTAAAGATGCACTTTATGTCTTGGAAGCTGTGACCCTCCTTATAATTTAGCTATAGAACCAGTTAAGGTAAGCTGCCAACCATAAACTGCACACTCTGTATTTTAGAAGGTAAACGCTGGCTTATGAAACTAACCCATGTGTCCAAGAGGCAGAAGTATTAAAAAGTGGGGAACAAAAAGAAGGAAGAATGAGGCAGAACTGAATGCAGCTGAGATGGTTATTAAACAACCTTCTCTGCTGAAGAAGGTTTGGATCGGTGAGATAAATAAGGAGGGATACATAATGGAAGTGTTTATATAGTCGTTGTGTGTGATTCATTCCAGGAGAATTGTTAGACTAAATATGGAGGTTATTGATAGGAAACATTACAAATCCTGACGTAGGAACAACCAGTTCTGGCTTTAACAAGATTTAATGGGGAAGATTAGCTGTTGAAAACATGCAAGAGTGTCTTAGATTAGGAGATAGGATCAAAGAGATGAGGACTCTAAGGGGACTTTGATTTTACAAGGTGTCAGTGAGAGTTTTGGTTGATATACATTCCTTCATATGTATTGTACTTTGAGATTGATCACTTATTCCAAAATGTGTGGCCTCACTCTTAGCCCTAAAAGGTCTCCGTGGACATTCAATGGTAAAAACAATGTACTTTCTGCCAGCATTCAGGTATTGACAGCATGGCTCATTCAAGGCATTTAAAAATTTATTTTGTATCAAAAATATTGCATAAATTAGTATAAAACTGATAAAAATAGGAGCACAAGCGGCTAAATATCTTTTGACCAAAAATGGGCAACAGCAACTGCATTGTTTGTTGCCTCCAAAAATTCTTCCTCTGTACATGAGGCAAGGCATAGCGGACAAGCATACAGATGCTGAGGTGTCTGTTCTGCTCCACTGTCACACAAGGTAGAGGATTCTTTTAGATAATGCCATTTTACCAGGTTGTCTTTTGATCTGCCCACTCCACATCTGAGTCTTCTCAAGAACTTCCAAGTTGCCCATTCTTGGTTTGTCCCCTGGAACCAGACCCTCATTGGGGGGGGGGGGCATCTAATTGGGATTTCCTGGTTTAGCTGCCCAGAGGCATAATACAAGTCCTAACTACTTTTGATGATTCTTTTTTATTTTAAGGAGAAAACACAAAATAAGAATCTCTACACCAATCTTTGCTTTTATTTACGAAGTTAAACAAATAGTTCCCACAGCTGTAACACAAAACAAGAGACAGCAATCCTACATAGTTGTAAGTCTAGTAATCCCCCCCCCCCCAAAAAAACCCAACCCATCCCCTTTTCTGAGTAGAATGGCAAGGCAAGAACTTAATATGTCCTGGGAAAGCCACCCAAAGGCACAGACCCCACTATACTTCCCCACTAATGCTATTTCTGGCCTTTTTGAATACCTAGGTGGGAAATGGCAGCGGTGGCAACAAAGGCAGCTGGCTCCAAAGGCAGCTGGTATAAAACAGACAGCATTGGTGTTTTTCCCGCTCTACAGAATTGCCCTCTACATATCCACAGCTCATGTCACAATTCATAGATTTTACCACCAAACTTGCCCTCAACTTAATAGTGAGTATATACAGTATTTCTTTGGGGTTCCTAAAAGGAAACTGGGTTTATTTCTGAGTCTTAAATGTAAATTACAGATCACTGAGCATTTAGTCCAAAGTATGATGAATACTGAAAATTGTACAAATGGTATCATGGTGAAAGCAAACCAAGTTCACAAGATACACTGACTGGCTGTCCCATTCATAGAAAAGAGTGAAGAAAATCTACCCAGGTAAATAAAACAGATTGCTTTACTGTAATATGTTCATGCAATGTACCCAAGACTCTAAAGCAATGGTCAGCAAAGGGTGACCCTTTGGCCAAGTATAGTCGCATGTTCCCCCCCAAACCATGTTTTCTGCTCCACTCAAAAGAGGTATATATCTGAGGTGCCTTTTCTGAAAACCTCCAGGAGCAGGGCTTAACTTTTCAATTAGATCACCCATCACTACATACCCGGTTTCATATAATCAAAGTCTTGTATAATTCTTAGTTTTTACAAACTTCAGATTATCAAAATGCCTCCTCGCATGTCTTCTCACCTATTAGCATACAGCAGGGAGGACTACATTCGAAATGCATCCATATTCTTTCAGTCTCTGTTACTCTGATATCATTTATTTCTTGCAGATTTAATAGGAAAAGTGGATCCTTTGACCTGATACTAAGGAAAAGCAGATTCAATACACTCACCACTTTCTTGTGTTGCAGTAACAAAGAGTGCATCACAATACACAAAGATTTATCTTCTGAAGCCTAGGCCAGTGTGAACAACAGTATAACCATGAAATTATTTACTCTGAAATAAGACCCATTGAGATCAATTGCAACTGTGCACATGCTGCAAACTAAGAGAACTAGGATGTATCACTTTATACAAGTTTTATGGACAGATCCTCGTAATTCTTTGGATTCTAAGCATAAGATGAAGGGTCTTTGTTCTCTGTCTGTCAAAACTGGGCTGCCTCCATAAGTGGCCGGGTTTGCATCTAGATCTGGAGAACGTATTCCTCAGCTCCAGCTTGTGCAGCATTCTCTTGTTCCCGTCTGTGTACTGAGGCTGAGTGGAGGAATAGTAGCTCACTCAGCTGACGTAAGAATGAACGCTTGTTATGTTCTAACACTGAAGATTCTTGATTCAGGCCACACAATCAACAACATTGATATGATCCTATGACACAGACACTATTTCTCATCTAAGATCCAATTCAATGTCATGTTCAGTGCATTCCATGAACCTTAGAGCTGCCATGCAAATCAAACCTAGCAATCTATGGTACTTTCAGGGTACCTTTAAAGCTCTGATGAGTCCAGTCATTGTTTCGTTGGCTAATCTCTTTGCTTGGATCCATTGCCCAAAATAAACAACTTCATGTCACTTTCCAATCTGTGTATCTGTGATAACATCACTTTTTGTTTCTTGTAGTTGTCTTTTATGTTCCATAGACTTTTTACAGCATATTAGCTTCTGGTAGGTGCTACTTCAGGGAGCAATGAGCAATAATATATATAATCTCCCTGGCTTGAACCACCTGCTAGTCTTTAAACCACATCTTAAAACCTTTAAACAAATAAAAAGCATCCTTTGGGCCAAACCCTCATTGCACTCAAATAATTCATCTACTGTTAGCAGCCTGCTGCCCAGGGACAAAGGACAATGCTAAGTCACACTGAACGTGATGAAAGACTTGGCCACTTTCTCTTGATGGCTCAGCTGCTCTGCCTCCCCCCATGTCTGAATTGGGATTTGGCAGCAACTGGAGGCTCTGGCATGTATGGGCTCACTGACATGTATCACTTCTGTCAGATCAGCTTCTAAGATGCTGACTGTGTGGGTCACCTGGGCCACATGGACCTTGTTGGCCACTCTTTTGTGCAAGAGGCAGCTGAAGATCTTCTTGAACCCTTTCCGGAAATGCTTGGATACCAGAGCATAGACAATGGGGTTAACGCAGGAGTTGGCATAGGAAATCAGGTGAGAGAGGACCCTTAGTACATAGGTAACATTGTTCAGTGGGAAATAACCAAACCAAAAGCAGAGGATGACCAGGTGATGGGGCAGCCAGCAAAGACAGAAGAGAACCGCCACAATGATGATCATCCGGGTGACCTTGCGCTTGCCCTTCTTGGAATCAGACACATCTTTCATGGGGTCCACAGATGTCCAGAGGTAGCGAATAGTCCTCAGGTAGGTGAGGCTCAAGATCAACACAGGAATGACGTAGCTGAAGACAAAGGTGCAAAGGTCCATAATTTTGCGCTGAGGGAACTTCCAGACAGGATGGCAGACAGTGACGTTGGCTACCTGAAACTCCTGGTAGTAACTGATGTAAGGTCCAGAGAAGATGATGGAAAGGCCCCAGATGAGGCAAATGGCTGTGAGGGCATTCTTGGGAGTTCTGAGTTCTCTTGAATGCAGAGGATACCGGATAGCCAAATACCTAGCAAGGTAAAAAACAAGAAAGAGCAATAATAATTAAGGCACTATTTTAAAGAAAAAATGAATTTGGAAAATGCTGTATGCCTGGAGAATCCAGAATTTATACATCACATTCGCAATGACAAATGGAATAGCCATAATATTTTGAAAGAAGGAATTACAACTGGATGAGTTTCATCCTGAGAATGGGAAGATGCTCACAATGATTACAGAGTCCAGTATCATGTGACTGTATTATTTAACATCGTAAATGAAGAAGTTGTTTAAGTTGTTTGGATTATCGCTTGGGGAAAGGAAGGGAGATGAAGTGGAAACTTTTGCAGAGCAAGATTTGTTGAAAGAGCAGAAGGCAACTTGACCCTAGGGAGACCAAAATATACAAACTAGCAGTCTGACATAATGATAAACATTGGAAGGGCTTATTGTTGCCAGCGCTGCCTACAGCCAAGAGTCCTATTGGTGCATTATGCTAGTGGCTGTACATTTTCAGAGATGCATGTTGGTAGACAGGGAAGGCAAGTGACATATTTTGGTTCTGAGTAACCTATTGCGTCAATGCCTTTGTTTTTCGTGGTTGCTTGCTATACCTGCATCTTTTTCTTGCTGCCTGTCCCAAAGTAGCTGCACAGTTGAAAAGCATCAACAAAATTCTAGTTATTTGTCTACAGAAGCCTTACAGGTACAAACCAGTGAAGATATGTGTTATATTTTCCTATTTGTAAGGAAGGTTAGTGTGGTGTCTTCAAACAACTATGTTTAGGTGATGAATAGATCCAAGTATATATCTGAAAACCCATTTTCACTTTCTGCCATATGTGCTTAAGTGTACAATGCAACGGACCTATGAGCACAAGTGTGTAAGTAGTGCATTACATTATCACATACTCACAAAAAGCAAGGCTGTGAATCATATGGGACTATTAGGAGATTTTTATGTTCGTAGGCATGCTGCAGCTATTTGAATATGCATGCAGAATGGAGTGAAACCTGTCATCTTCTGCCATCATTTACAGAGTCCAGAAATAGCTAATTGCACAAATGTAGCATTGTATAGCAATTTGCTCAATATGTGTGGGTGTTTTCTAACTAGAGTTGCATTGTGATATTAATGTGATAAAGGCTAACATCACTTCTCTGGGTTGTGCAACTGTAGCTTTTTAGTTATTTCCCTGGTGAATAGAGTCTCTGTGGTCCCAGAGAATGGTGGAGGGGGAAGAAAATGAAAATCGAGTGTGGAGTCATACTGCTAGTTTGAGCTTGTTGCGGATGTTGAGGTGATAAGGAATTGGACAATAGAAAAAGTGTGTTATATAGCACAGACTAGAAAGGTGTTTTTTTTCAAGTTTCCCAAAAGTGTTTTAAGAAACAGGAAAAGTAAAATTAAATGATTGTGATAACTGTTTGTTTTTCTTCCCATAAAACTACAATAGCTTTTTGAAAGTAATTTCCCAAGGTGTGAATATTAGCATGTTCTTTCTAAAAGTCCAGCTTTCTGAAGAGGACTGTACAGCAGGGTTGCATTACTGCCATAAGAAAACTGGATCCTTCCATGCCTGCCAACTGGGTGGATATGACTAACTCCACAGCTGAATGTCAGCATCATAACTGTGATTGTTCTAGGAGAGTCTTCCACTCATTTATCCCCTTCCAAACTGCCCCTGTATCCCAGGATCTGATCTCAGATAATCATCTTATCCCAGATTATCTAATAGTGGAGACACATATAATCCAGTTTAAATCAGATAACCTAGGATCAGATCCTGGGATATAGGGCAGTGTAAAAGGGACTGTTGCCTCATGCCTGGTTGCTTACATGAGTGATGAGTTGATCTGTGCCTGAAAAGTATGGGACTGCAATCCTGTTTCTTTCCATCCCCAGCCAAAATCAGATTGGATAATCTCTGAAAACAGCTCATAGGTCGCAAACACATTACACAGATCTTTGTTTTGGTCACCTGAATTGAAAGGAGTTATATGAAAAATATAGTATAACCTGTTGCACTCAGTTTATGCAAAAACAATCCCTTTTCATTATAATTTTTTTCCATTGCAGATCAGTATAGCTATTACTTAGTTAGTTCTCTGATAAGTTTGTTAAGTTTTTGGTTTAGTCAGCATAACTCTATCCTAATTAACTTACATGTACTCTATCATATATAGGGTGAGCTCCTGTCTGTCAGCTCCAGCTTCTCATGCAGGGACATGAGTGAAGCCTCCCACAGTATGGTAAAACAGCCAGGGGTCTCCTGGGAAACGTCTTTGCAAACGGCCAATTCTGTCACACCAGAAGCGCTTGCATTTCCACAAGACGCTCCTGAAACGAAAAAAAAATCTCTGGGTGGCTAAATATTGTACCTTAATGGCCCCTATCCCATCAGATTTTGGAAACTAAATTGGGTCAGCCCTGGTTAGAACTTGGATGGGAAACTGCCAGTGTATAGCAGGTGCTGTAGGCTGTCTTTCAAAGGAAGAAACTGGCAAAACCACTTCTGTGTATTCCTTCCCTAAGAAAACACTATGAAAAATTTAAAGGTGTTGTCATAAGTCAACACACTTGAATCCACACACACACACAGAGAGAGAATATCTATGTATTGTCTCCCACATGAATATAGTGATAGATAGCTGCCACAGAAGGGTTTGTTAAGATCTTTGAGCGTCTTGTCAGACATAAATTCGTTCTTGTTTTACATATCTCTTTACAATATGACTATACCTTTAGTGAACTAAAAGGCATCTTTGAAATACACCTGCCTGTCTTTTGCTTTCTGTTCCCAGGGTTTGGAAAATTACTTGTACAGTCTCAATAGTTATGTTCCAGGATCGTAAAGTAGTTACGGGTAATTCACATCAGAGTTACCTTTAAAAACATGTTCTATAGCTTTCTGTTTCTGAAAATAACAAATCATTACTTTTTAATTATATTTTTAGAGAAAAATAAACTGTATATTACAAGGCACTGGTCTGTGCTACAAGACATATCTAACTAACCTAATTCTCATTGTTATACATACAAGAATAGTGCGTTTAAATATCTATACTTACTTATATACATACAGACACATATATTATTAATGAAATAATGGCTAAATGTGCTCCCACTCCCAACAATGATTTCCAAAGCAAAAATATTTGTGAATGTGAACATTCAGTGCTGCTTTTAAATCATAATCACGGGCTGCCTCAAAAGAATGTGTTGAGTAAAATGCATGAACCAACACCAACACTCATACGCGTCTTTTAAAATGATGGTTTTGTTTTTTTGGGTTTTTTTGCAATTTTGTGCATATTCCACAAAAGCGAATCACTACACAGAAATGGAATTTTCTTGAAAATTGAACCACCAAACAAGAATGTCACTAAAATGGCAAACCTGCTGTAGTTGTTAGGTGTTCCCAGTCCCTGGAACTTCCTTTTGAGAGAGGCATACAATTGTAAAATTACAGCTTTGGAAGTGGGTTCGTGGGCCATCTAGTCCAACCCACTGTTCAATACAGGATCTCTCTAGCTCCAGCATCGCCAACAGGTAGCTGAGGGTGTAACCGGTCTGATTTAACAGGTGTTTTATTTGATTTCACAGGTATTTCTTTTTTGAAGACATCCAGAGAAGGAGATCCCTCGCCTCCTCTAGGCAACTAGTTCCCTTGCATTAGTTAGACTGACCCTCTCCTTACTGTGTTTCCAGAGGCTGGCAAATACTTTTGTTTTTGTTTCATCAGAGCTTGGAAAATTGCTTAGGAGGAAAGGGCCTTGCATAATGTGGTGGTATTTCTCTTTCCTTTTAATGGTTTAGGCTTTTCACAGGTTTAATATTCTGAGTGTCTAATTACATTTTAAAGTTTTGCACAAAGTGAATTTTTCATCTATGTTTAGGTGAAACTGTTGTACATAGATGGGGGGGGGGGGAAGCAAAATCTATCAGTAAATGTAATCATCATAATGACAAAGAAAATAATAATTGGAAGAAACTATGACTTTTGGCACAGTATAAGAATCAGCTCATGAATATTTTCTCAAAAGTAAAAGGGACTAGATTACCCAGAATGACAGCAAAGAGCATCCATCCATTCATCCATCTAAAAAGCAGTGATGATGGCCCACACAGAAATAACAAACCACTCTTCTGCAGACATTCTTCTATTCCAGTGCCACAATCACAGGAAAAAAATTTTTTTGAATCATATGAGAGTTAAATTGAAGAGCAGATTGGGGGGTCAAAACAAAATAATTTTTTTACATCCCATTTTCCCCATCTGGGAAGAATTCATTATGTACAGTGCACAGAAAAAATACAGATAAAATAGCTAAGATTGTAAGCACATCTGAAAACTGTTCAAAAAACACATGGTTCATTGTCCCATAAAATTGGTAGGGTTATCTCTCATGAGACAGGGATTACTTCGGTGGCATACACTGGTTCAACCATAGTTTGCCCACAGAGCCCACCAGCTCCCATCCCAAGATGCAGAGGAACTTCCAAACAGGGCCCCATGAGTAAACTATAGCGAAACCAGAGAAAGCTGCTACAGCAGGAACACAGGAGGCTTCCCCTGTTGCACCAGGAGCAATGGGGGAAGCCATGTGGTCAATCCTTTCCCCCATGGGATCGGCATGCCGGTAAGCCAGGCGATGCACGGTGGGGGGCGACGAATTCCTCACACTCCCTGCCAGGCACCACCAGATTCTCCAAGATGCATGGTCCTTAGTTACAACCACAATGTGATCACACTCCCATTACCGATGAAAGGAATTAATTGGAAGAGTCCGTGTGGTGTTGTGGTTTGAGCATCAGACTGTGACTGTGGAGACCAGGGTTTGAATCTCCACTTGGGGCAAAATCCATTGGATTACCTTGGACAAGTCACACTCTCTCAGCCTGAGAGGGAGGCAATAGTAAATGTCAAATAAAATGCTGTGATAAGTTCTCCTTAAGATCACATGGAAACAATTTGAAAGCATTCAACAACCATCTTTTATTACATTGAAGCTTGAACTATTCTGCATTAACATTGGACAGAAGTTTGCCTAAGCAAGGGGGACTCAGCAATGCAATGTATTCCTATGAGTCTTGTGGTTTAATATTTGTCTGACTAATTCATGTAATCAATCTGACAGACAGGCACTGTGATCTTTCCTCTGTTTATCATATGTCAGATGTACAGTTTAATCTAAAAGCAACACTGAAGGAAGTCAGTAGAATACTAAGGAAACAAGGAATTTGTGCAAGAAATCTGTTGCAATCCATTGGTGTTGTTGTGGACATGTAACATACAGAAATGTCCTCAATAGATTTGCATAAGTATGCTTCACATAATATACTTGCCAGACAGGTAGGATATGCTGAGGGCACATACTGGTATATCAAGAAACCTGGGCTTCCTGTCTATATGATGTGTGGATATTTCATTATACAGCTATTACTAAAAAGTATTGCTGGTTTTCAAACATATCCATCTCAGCATTGGAGTGTGGTAAACAGGAGAAAGTTTCCACACACCTTTTAAAAAAATTAGAAACTAAATGTTTAGCTCTAAGATATATCAGGGTGTATTTCTGTGATACCTACCCAGATGTGATCCCTATGACGCAATCCCTATCTGCACAGCGGAGTATGAGCAAGGATCTGGCTTGCCATGTCTTTGTAGGTGAAAATGGGCATCTCCACTTCACGGTATGATTGACAACCAGCTAACAGGATGGCCCATTTCTTCATCACATTCCTTCACATTAAAATAAAATCCTGGTTCTGCAGGTTTGTTCTTAAGTTGAATTTGCATGTAAATCAGAACAGGTACATTTTAAAGTTTAACTCCAAATATATATATATGCAAGCTTTGGACAGCATAGTGAAGGGTTAACAGCCTTGTCATGTTTGTTTTACTATCTGTGCCCCTGAGATTTCATCTCATTTTTTGTCCCTGCAATAACTGGAATTTGAAAAAAAATTGACTTGTTGTGGAAACAAGGATTGGAGATAAAGCTTCAGTGGAGACATTTTTTCCCCATGATAACTTTTTTAAGAAAATTCCCTTCCTAGAGGTAGATTTCTTACTCCTGTTCTTAACTATGAGTCATTTCAGATGTTTGTAATTCGGGGATTACTTGTATGCATGTAGGTAATGTATGTATGTATGTAATGTAGGGTGCTGGGGATGGGGTTCTATGTTGTAATTTTGTTTTCATGTGTAGTTTAAATGTATGGAACATGTGGACTGTAACTTGAATGTTTTTAAATATACAAAATAATCAAAAATCGTGGTGGTACAACTGAGATTTCTTATTGTTCCAGTAATATGAGATTATTTTCCTTATATTATTCTAGTTAGATTTTGCAACTACTACTTGGATCAAGCCCCCAAAGCCTTACCATTATTAACCCAGTGCTTTTCCATGGATTCAATCTGTTTCACAATGCACTATAATTCTTACAATAACACAGGAATGTAAAACTGTATTGTTATCATTCTAATGAGGAGTTGTGGTGTCAGAAAAAGTGTTTCGCCTGAAAGCCACCTAGTGAGTAAATGAACCCAGGACTTCTAGACACATTGTTCACAGTCACTATACCATGTCACATATTTGTATGATATGCCCTTATTCTAGGTTTAGCTATAGGAGTTCTGATGCAGACAATGAGTATGTTTCAAGTATTTCCTCGAAATGTATCTTGCTCCAGTGAAACTCTCTGATCTGGAGTACATGGTGGGTCAGGATGTCATAGAATGATCTACTGGCAAAAGGCTTAAGCAAACTTTCCTGCTGTATGTTAAAGTCTCAAACTAGATGGCTCTCCCAGAGATATATTTCTGGAATAGGCAAAAATTGAGTGTAATTGTTTTTATTATTTTATTTATATTCTACCTTTCTCCTGGCATGAGGACCAAATGATTGATCATCTTACATCTTAACTATATTGATGGAATAATGGCAATGCTGGAAACATTATCATCACATAAATGAGGTTAGTCAATAGAATTTTGTTCTTTCTGTGGGAATATGAGACAAAGTTTTTGCATGCAGGACAGAGCAGCAAGAAAAGATGAAATAATCATGCAATGCAAAGTAATTTGACAACTTGTGAAACTACACAAAGGTACTGTTAATGCAAATGCCCACCCCTCCCACATTCTGCTGGTTTGCTCACCTGTCCAGGGAAACAGCTGTGAGGGTAAAGCTACTGGCGTACATGGTCAGGTAAATGAAAAAATGGACAGCTTTGCACAAGAGTGGCCCAAAGATCCAGTCATCCAAAGTGTAGATGGTCGCCTGGAAGGGCACACAGAAAACAATAAAGCACAGGTCAGCCACTCCTAGGTTCAGGATGAAGAGGTTGGTCGTGTTGTTGACTTGCCCATTCCTTAGCAGCACCGCCAGCACCAGAGAATTGCCCACTGTGCCTACTAAGAAAATCAGCGAATACACAAAGGGAATGATGACTGCCATGGTCTGCCAGCTGCTGCTCTCATTGCTCCCTGAAGAGTTGAGCTGGGGCAAAGTCCTGTTCATCTTGAAAGCAATGGGCATGCTCCCGTTGCAGAAGAGAGATAGAGAAAGGATTTTCTACCACGCTGGATCAGTTGGAAAGGAGCGCACAAATCCGTCCCACCTGCCAGCTGCTTCCAGACTCAATTTCTCATCTAAGAAACATTTTCTTTGCTGCTGGTCTTCGGTGTAGTCAGGTTTCCTGTTTGTAATCCTTCAAGCCAATCCAAGTTCCCTTCACGGATGGAAGATTTCTGTCCATTGTCAAGATGTTGAAGCTCAGTTCCTTTTCTTTTTGCTAAGAGCAGACTATTTTACACAGTGCTGGAATTCTGCTCCTTCTTCTTTGTTAGAGATCACTGGCAGCCACTTTTGTAGATGCGTGAAACTGAAGGAGTAAACTTCTTGCCGGTTGCACTTCCTGGCAGTTTAATAGACTCACACCGAGCCCGCACTGCTTAGCGTACTCGAAAGACCACTTCATGGTATTCATGGAGGATGGCTAATATATTCAAGCCTGCCTCTTGTTTCCAGGGAGACAAAGAGCCCAAATAATAGTAATGGTGTCTATGGAAACACAGCCCCCTCCCCATATACACATACTACACTTGCTTTCTACTTTAAGTTCAGATTGTATTTGGGTTTACCTTGGGTTTGCCGTACCTTTGAATGAACAGTACTGAAGTAGTGATTTATCTAACTATTGATTTCCTCCATCAAGAATATCCTATCACAATGAGATCGTAACAGGACCATATCTCTTTCTATGATGCATTAGGGAAGGGTGCAAAATGATGCACATTCCAGGTACAGTCGGCCCTTTATATCCACAGATTCTGTGCTTGTATTCAACCACCCAAGGTTAGAAAATATCCCCCACTCCCAAAAAGCAAACCTGACTTTTCCATTATATAAAAAGGCCATAATTTTACTACACCATTATATATGATAGAACCACAGAATCATAAAATTGGAAAAAACTTCAAGGGCCATCCAGTCCAGTTCATTCTGCTACACAGGAGCATAAAAGCAAAGTACTCCAGACAAATAGCCATCCAGCCTCTGCTTAGAAGCCTCCAAAAGAGCCTCCACCACATTCTGAGGTGCAATATTCCACGCCAAACAGCTCTGACCCTCAGGGAGCAAAAGTTCTTCCTAATCTTCAGGTGGCATCTCTTTTCTTGTGGTTTGAATCCATTGTTTCATTGTGTCCTAGTCTCTAGAACAGAAGAAAAAAAGCTTCCCCCCTCTTCAATATGACCTCATTTCAGATATTTAAACATCCAACTAAAGCAGAAAGTGTAGAGAATAGACATCTAAGCTGGATCAGCTTGGACATCCTTATAGGCAAGGCAAGAAAAAATGCAGGCTAGACTGGGAAACTTTTATAAGCTAACTGGACCGGGGGAACCGATGCATGTCTGGGAGGATGGAGGCAACTATGGGTGATTAGTGCTCTATTGGTGCTGTTCCTATCCCACAATACATTAGAATAAATGAAGAAAAAGATTATCTAAAGCTAAGGAAAGACAGAAGGACTGTAGCTGTCTCCACTTTTCTGTCCTTGTTACAAATAGTTGACATAGTCAGTGCTCCCTCTTCAACATCTTCACCCAAGGAAGTGATGCTGGCCAGGCCTGCTTCCTGATGTGATGGATGTGAGGGGGCTCTGCCCCCCTAAGAATGGCACTTGCACTGCAATGGATGAACAAGATATACCAAGTAAACTTGAGGAAACTGCACTGAACAAACCAAGATCTGAAGACACACCATTGAACATCATTTCACTTGTGAAGCATTGCCCGTTCTACTAGAATTCTTCAAGGTTTCAAACAGGAGACTTTCTTAACTCTACCTAGAGAAAACAGAAATGGAGGCTGGGACTCCCCAAACAAATCTGAGTCATATCACTATATAGAGCAGACTTTTATTAAAACATTGATGCCCAGTATACTACAAGGGGGTAACTGTGCATTTTGTCTGACTGTAGAAGATACAGCTACAATTCCTGGTTTCTCTATGGGTGCATCCACACTGTAGAATTAAAGTGATGTCAAATCACAGGCAGTCCCCAAGTTACAAACAAGATAGGTTAATGTGGGTTTGTTCTTAAGTTGAATTTTTTTGTAAGTTGGAACAGGGACATTTTTTCAGTGTAACTCCAGCCGTGTGTGTGTGTGTGTGTGTTTGGATAGTTTATGGGAGGGTTAATACCCCTGTGGTGTTTGTTTTGCTGTCTGTGCCCCTAATCAGAAGATTTCACCTCACTTTCTACCCCTGGGATCACTGGATTTTGAAAAAAAATGGCTTGTTGTGGAAACAAGGATTGATGATAAAGCTTCAGCTGAGACACTTTTCCCCCATGATGATAACTCTTCCAGGAGAGAATTTCCATTCCTAGGGGTGTTTTTCTCTCACTTCCTGTTGTCTCACTCATTCTTAATTATGAGTCAGATGTTTGTAACTTGGGGACTGCCTGTACATTAATTCTACAATGTAGATGCATGCTATGAAGCCCTCTTGGTTGCTAAAGATCAAGTCACTGTCTCTCATTTTGATGTTAATATTATTATCCAATTCATTCATCTTTGATCCTAGTATGGAAATATATGTCAGTTGTGAGTAACTTTAAAAAAATCATACTCATTTCCTAGAGATTGTGAAACTTGAGATCAGAAAATAGTATTTATGTAAGCACCTTACATTCCCTCCTTAAACGATAATATTCCTAGTTCCAACAGACCTCGCTACCTTTGAGGATGCTTGCCATAGATGCAGGCGAAATGTCAGGAGAGAATGCCTCTAGAACATGGCCATATAGCCTGAAAAAACCCTACAACAACCCAGTTAATATTGATACTCAGGAGTAGCAGTAAATCAGCCTGCATCCCCCCTTTTTCTTCACTATAATTTATAAGAAACACAGCAAAAGGCCTGGGGAATTTCAGAGATGTTAATAGAATGACAGAAGTGATACAACAGGAATGCATCAAAGCAGAAGTTTAATCATTCCTCATTAATATTAAAGAACATTTTCCCTAGGGAGAAGAAAGAAATGGGTGCATGTGTGCCATGTCATAATCACTTTGAAATGAAATGCATGCAGTCATCTACATATTAATCAAAGGAACAACGGCATGTGAAATGCATTTTACCAGGCACAGAACATTAATGCAAAGATAAAGACCAGATTAACCAAAATGTCTGAGGAATAAATCTGGGTTTTTGCTGGAAGGTTCCTGGGCTGACAAACTGAGGAGAGCTGAATGGACAAGTAGGTGCCTGTTCGCATTCATGTGGAATCCTTTTACGCTTGCTTGAGTAACAGATCACACCTTCCTTGGAGGCATGTTGTTCCTCCCACATCTTTTCCCTATACTTTTAGTAGGGAAGAGACAGATTGTCTCACTGTTGAAAGATTCCTTTGCCAGGATGTGGGAAGACTCTGGGATGGACACCACAGAAACCTGGGGGCCACCAGAACATGGCAAAGGCGAGTCACCTTGTTGGCAAACTCATTTATTTGATTGAGGAGACACTGCTCCTTGAAGCACCAGATGTTCCCTTTTGTCATGATGGAATCATCCCTGTAATATGCATTTATACTAAGGTCACTTTAGTAATTTAGTGGAGAGATCTGCTCTTTTTCCGCAACCATAGAGACACTATCACTGCCCTCTACATTCCCCCTCTATGAGGAATTTATGATTTTCATGTGGGTAACCACTTTTAAAGGATAAGAATAAGTAACTAAGGGTTGGTAAAAACAATTTGGAAGGCAGAGAGATGTAAACTGAAATCAAAACATTTCAATCCAATGGCAGGAGGATTTCATTATCTTAGTCTCCGAGATGGTTCATAGAGGAAGATACCTTCAGACAGGTAAGCTGGGCCGGAACCGTTTAGGGGTTTTTAGGCCAAAGGCAGCACTCTGAATTGTGCTCGGTAGCAAAGTGGCAGCCAGTGGAGCTCATGTAACAGGAGAGATGTGTGCTACCTGTACACCACCTCAGTTAGAAATCTGGCTGCCACTCGTTGGATAATTTGACACTTCTGAACAGTCTGCAAAGGCAACCCCAAAAGTATGGGGTTGCTTTTGACTGATGGGATAGTCAAGTTAATGCATTTACTCAGATCTAATGCTCACTTTATTTATTTATTTATTTATTTATTTATTTATTTATGCTAAGTGACCTTGCCAAAACTGGGGTGCACATTAGATTCACGTCATATAGTAATCTTAGTGCCGAGCCAAAGCAACAGGAGAAAGGTGATTCAGAAGCTGCAACTGGGGCTCCTCTTTGAGGAATGTCATCTCTAATTAAATGGCCAGGGCTCAATGCTATGCAATCCTGGGAGTTGTAGTCTGCTGATGCACCATCATTCTTTGGCAGGGAATGCTCAAAACCTTGTCACACTACAGCCCCCAGAATTCCATAGCATTGAGCTAAGGCATTTCAAGTGGATTAATTCTACAGCATAGATGCACCCCAAGGTTTTATTTTCCATCGCTGGAATATTTGGTGTTCTAACATGTTTGTAATGTAGGAATTCTAAGCAGGCAGCTACAGTAATGTGCACTTTTTGGGAACAAATTATGAAGAGCATACTTTTTGCCGCTGTGCATTACATTTGGCAGCAAATACTTCTTTCTGGTTTCAAGGTTTTGAAAATAAAGGTGTGCATTAGATTCGAGTAAATGCAGGCAATTAGGATTATTGTTGTTGTGTGCCTTCCAGTCATTTCTGACTCAAGGAGACCCTAAGTCTAAAGTTTAGGGTGTGGGGAGGGGGAGGTAAATGTCGTTGGAGGGCTGCATCCAGCTTGTGGGCCTTAGTTTGTGGACTCCTGGTCTTGATCAAGGAAGTAATTGTTGTTGTTCATTCGTTCAGTCGTCTCCGACTCTTCGTGACCTCATGGACCAGCCCACGCCAGAGCTCCCTGTCCCGTCACCACCCCCAGCTCCTTCAAGGTCAGTCCAGTCACTTCAAGGATGCCATCCATCCATCTTGCCCTTGGTCGGCCCCTCTTCCTTTGCCTTCCACTTTCCCCAGCATAATTGTCTTCTCTAGGCTTTCCTGTCTCCTCATGATGTGGCCAAAGTACTTCAACTTTGTCTCGAGTATCTTTCCCTCCAGTGAGCAGTCGGGCTTTATTTCCTGTAGGATGGACTGGTTGGATCTTCTCGCAGTCCAAGGCACTCTCAGAACTTTCCTCCAACACCACAGCTCAAAAGCATCTATCTTCCTTCGCTCAGCCTTCCCTAAGGTCCAGCTCTCACATCCGTAGGTTACTACAGGGAATACCATGGCTTTGACTAGGCTGATCTTTGTTGCCAGTCTGATGTCTCTACTCTTCACTATTTTATCGAGACTGGACATTGCTCTCCTCCCAAGAAGTAAGCGTCTTCTGATTTCCTGGCTACAGTCTGCATCTGCAGTAATCTTTGCACCTAGAAATACAAAGTCTGTCACGGCCTCCACGGTTTCTCCCTCTATTTTCCAGTTGTCAATCGTTCTTGTTGCCATAATCTTGGTTTTTTTGATGTTTAGCTGCAACCCGGCTTTTGCGCTTTCTTCTTTCACCTTGATTAGAAGGCTCCTCAGCTCCTCCTCGCTTTCGGCCATCAGAGTGGTGTCATCTGCATATCTGAGGTTGTTAATGTTTCTTCCAGCAATTTTCACCCCAGCTTTGCATTCATCCAGCCCCGCACATCGCATGATGTGTTCTGCATACAAGTTAAAAAGGTTGGGTGAGAGGATGCAGCCTTACCGTACGCCTTTCCCAATCTTGAACCAGTCTGTTGTTCCGTGGTCAGTTCTGACTGTTGCTACTTGGTCCTTGTACAGATTCCTCAGGAGAGAGACAAGGTGGCTTGGGATGCCCATCCCACTAAGAACTTGCCACAATATATTATGATCCACACAGTCAAAGGCTTTAGAATAGTCAATGAAGCAGAAGTAGATGTTTTTCTGAAACTCCCTGCCTTTCTCCATTATCCAGCGGATATTGGCAATCTGGTCTCTCGTTCCTCTGCCTTTTCTAAACCCAGCTTGAACATCTGGCAACTCTCGCTCCATGTATTGCCGGAGTCTTCCTTGCAGGATCTTGAGCATTACCTTACTGGCATGAGAAATAAGGGCCACTGTACGGAAGTTTGAGCAGTCTTTCGCATTTCCCTTTTTTGGTATGGGGATATAAGTTGATTTTTTCCAGTCTGATGGCCATTCTTGTGTTTTCCATATTTGCTGGCAAATGGCAGTAATAGTCCCACTCTATTCCACTTTGGTCAGACCTTACCTGGAATAAGACTGCGTCTAGTTCTGGATAATGAGCTAGAACATGTCCAGGGGAAGGTGACCAAAATAGTAAAATGGTCTGGAAACCAAGCCCTATGAGGAATGTCTGAGTTCACTGGGTGTTTTCAGCTGGAGAAGAGAAAGTGATATGATAGTTGTCATTTTGATAATAGAGCAGCCTTGTTGCCCCAGGAACTCAGACATGGAGCAATGGGTTCAAACTACAGGAAAATATATTCCACCTAAATATTAGGAAGAAATTCTTAATCACAAGAGCTGTTTGAGAATGAAATATACTGGCGCTGAGTCTTCTTCTTGGAAGGTTTTTAAACAGATGCTGAATAGCCAACTTTGCTTGTTGTGTATTCCTGCAGGGCAGAATGAGATTGGGCTGGATGGACTTTGTGGTCTCTTCCAGTTCTATGATTCTATGAAATATAGCTAATGGCTTAAATCCGAATTCGTGTCAGTTATCTTCCCCATCTTCTCTTTCCTTTGCAGCCCTCAATCCTTTGGAACAGTTTTGAGGCTGGACAAGGGAAGTGAGGATTTCTATTTCATGATATACGGCCTGTTCCACTGGCCAAAGAATGCAAGAGACATCCCTCATTACTATGATCTTTACTTAGCCAGTTTCACTGCTCTCAGCTATTTAGAGGTATTCTGATCCCTGAAACAATTGTTTGTTCTTTTTTGGAAATGCCTACTGTATTCACATTTTAAAAATCAAAATTAATTGTTCAAAAATATTTGGAAAAATATTCCAGACTGGATACCTATCAGCAAAGCTTTGAAAAATTACTTTTTGGGCCATAGCTTCCAGAATCCTACAGTCACCATGTAGTCCAAAAATACTTGGTATCTTTGGTATCTGTGAACATAAGAAATTAAAAGATTTGCATGTTAACCATTCATTTATCCTTCCGTTCACCTTCCTATTCTCTCGTTTCCTATGTCTGTATATAAGATTCCAAGTGCTCTGAAGCATGGGTCTATCCACTATATCCATTCCAAAAGGCCATCTATAGATATTAAATATATAAGAACATTCATAACAATTCAAATAAAGATTTGTCAAACACTTTGCAGCTGTCAAATATCATGTTCTCTATAATCACTTTTAGGATATATTCTGAGTTTATTTCAAATCCATGCATTGCTTATGAACCCAGAATTAGAAAACTTAGTAGTTCTATTTGCAGAAAAATGCAATTATAAAGCATGCCAACATCTAGTGCAGGCATGGGTAAACTTCAACCCTACAGGTGTTTTGGACTCCCAACTCCCACCATTCCTAACAGCCTGCCAGCTGTTAGGAATGGTGAGAGTTGGAGTCCAAAAAACCTGGAGGGCTGAACTTTGCCCATGCCTGATCTTGTGCAAAGATAAGCTAGCTAAAACCCATTGGTTTTTAAGAATATGCCAAATTCCCTATTAAATTCTTTCCAGAAAATCTATACAAGCCAATTCATTAATACCAAACTCAATAGAACTGGGTGAAATGAAGGCCCCATCTACACTGCTATATAATTCAGTACTAAAGTATTATATGGTCAGTGTAGACTAGGCCTGGGCAAACTTGGGCCCTCTGGGTGTTTTGGACTTCAACTCCCACCATTCCTGACAGCCTCAGGCCCCTTCCTTTTCCCCCTCAGCCGCTTCGGCTGAGGGGGAAAAGGAAAGGGCCTGAGGCTGTCAGGAATGGTGGGAGTTGAAGTCCAAAACACCCGCAGGGCCCAAGTTTGCCCAAGCCTGCACCTGTATTTAGCCTCCTGCTCCAGAGGCGCAGCTGTCACTCAGCGCCTCTTTATGGAAGCCCCGCCCCCCTCCCCGGTCCTCCTCTTTCCCGTCGGCCTCAGCGGCCATGGCGGCCACGCGGGGCGCTCTAGGCGCCTCCTCCTTCCCGTCCCATGGTGCTCCGCGCGGCAAGAGGCACAGGAGCAAGATGGCGGCGGAGCGGCAGGTGGCTGGCGGCGGGCGAGGCGCTCCCGGAGGCAATGCTGGCGGTGGAAGCTCCGCGTCGGGCCCGGAGGAGAACAAGGAAAACAAGGAGAACGAGAAGCCGAAGCCGGGCGCCCTGGGAGACAGCCTGGGCCTGGAGAGTATCCTTCCGGCGCGGCTGACAGGCCCGGGAGCCTCAATGGGGACGTGTCACTTCGACGTGGCAGCCGCCTTCTTACCCCCCACCTTGAGCTCTTCTTCCCTTTCCCCAGGAAAACTATCTCCCCAGATATGGGGGGTTGGGCTAAGAGGTATCGGCTTGGTTGAAAGGATCCGTAAAGGCCACGTCACTCTTAGGCGCCCCGAAAGGACATGAGTGTTGGGCGTCCCTGGGTGGCTTTTAGCTGTAGAATGAATGTGTTTCGACACCACTCTGACTTCCAGGGCTCAGGGCCATTGAATCCTGGCAGTTGTAGTTTTACAAGGCCTTTAGCCTTCTCTACCAGAGAGTGTTGCTAGGTTCTCACCAAACTACAAAACCCACGGCATTGACTTGTGTCATAAGCTTTCATAGACTGTCGAAGGCTTTCATGGCTGGAATCACAAGGTTGCTGTAAGTTTTTTCGGGCTATATGGCCATGTACTAGAGGCATTCCTTCCTGACGTTTTACCTGCATCTATGGCAAGCATCCTCAGAGGTAGTGAAGTCTCACTACCTCTGAGGATGCCTGCCATAGATGCAGGCGAAACGTCAGGAGGGAATGCCTCTAGAACAAGGCCATATAGCCCGAAAAAACTTACAGCAACCTACTTTCTTAGACTGTCTACTTCATTAGCAACACCTGAAGAAGTTGAGTTAGGGTGCATCTGCACTGTAGAATAAACACAGTTTGACACCTCTTTAACTGGCACAGATCACTTCTATGGAATCAGGAATTGTAGCTTTATTAGGTCTTTAGTCCTCTCTACCAAAGAGTGCTGGTGTCAAACCCAACTAAAAACCACAAGATACCCTAGTATTGAGTCATGGGAGCTGAGGTAGTGTGAAACTGCATCAATTCTACAGAGAAGAGCGGGTCTGGACAACCTGTAGCCTTCAGGTGTTTTGTACTTTAGCTCCCAGAATTCCTGACCGTTGGACAAGCTGGCTAGGGCAGTGGTTCTCAACCTGTGGGTCCCCAGATGTGTTGGCCTTCAACTCCCAGAAATCCTAACAGCTGGTAAACTGGCTGGGATTTCTGGGAGTTGTAGGCCAAAACACCTGGGGACCTACAGGTTGAGAGCCAATGGGCAAGGGCTTCAAGGAGTGGGAGGCCCAAACACCTGGACACATTGTACAGGCCTGGTGTAGAGGACCCCTGAGTCTGCAAGCGCTTATGCTACAAACACTTTTTTTCTCTCATTCTTGAAAGTGCTACAAGATTCCTTGTGGTCTCATTTAGGGTACACCTGTATTATAGAATTAATGCAGTTTAATTATGCCATGCTGCTTTAACTGCAGCTTTAACTGCAAGGCTCAGTCCTATGGAATTCTGGGAACTGTAGTTTTGCAAGGCCTCTAACCTTTTCTGCCAGAGTGCTGATGTATACGAAACCACAATTTTCATGATTCCATAGTATTAATTCATTATAGTTAAAAGTGGGTAAAATAGATAATTGCCCAGTATAGATGTACCCTTTGATATCTTAGTTATAGTCAGACCCTGCAAGGATATCGAAGGAAACAATATATTATCCAAAGCCACCGTCCCACCCAGAATTGCTGAATTTGCAGACATCTTTGTGTTGAAAGTAGGAGGTTGCAGAGAGGTCTGTGTATAAGATTGTCAAACAAGAGATGAAAGTACCTTATGTGTATATCTTGATAGGTGAAGAAGGAAATGAAAACCTTTGTATTTCCACAGTAGCTCTCATGCAGAAAGAAAGGAATTATTCATTTGTAGTTCATAATTTTAATAAGACAGTTAATGAAATACTCCCTCTTTTTACTGTTAAGCAGCCCTCTTTCTGTTGTGGTGAGAAATAGTTTATCCCTACAATACAAAAAGTTGTGTACTATAGAAAGAAATGCAACTCTGAAGTGCTCTTTTGCTAAACTTCCATGTTTCTTAGTGGAAAAATCTCTTACTTGGTTGGTGCAAATATTTTGGGCTTCCTTAGTCAGATAGATAAAAGTGAAAGGCCTCATAGAAAGAATGCCCCCAGCAGCAATTCAAACAGAGTATGAAGGTAACACTACTTAAGAGATTTTGGTCAATATGACATAATTAAAAGACTAATAGTTTCAGGGAATTAAAATAGTTGTAATGATTACAGAAAACTCAATAAGAATTTTGTGCTGAATGCAGAATGAAAATACCTGCATGATGACTGGGTGACAAGAAAGAGGAATTTTAAATAGTTAGCAAGGGTATAAGGATTCTAAGCAGTGTAGAGGTGTAGTTGAGTACTTGTCCCAGAAAACATCTCTCTGAAGTCAACAGGGCTTACTTCCAAGCAGACATTTTGCTGTGAGAATTTCATGTGGTAGAGAAACTCTGTACTGTCTGAAACATTTTTATGGCTGCACATTACCAGGGAGGATGAGAAAAGGTGAGACAGGTATATTTCAGGGCCCATTTTCATTAGACCTTTCATCCAAAAATCCTTGATTGTTTTCCAGGAACAAAATACATTTTCTTCTGTAAAGCAGGGTAACTACTCAAAGTGGTGGCTCTAGACCGGTGCCAGTTTCTGAACTGTTTGCTGTTGATCCCTGGCTGATTTCCAAGAAAGAAATAGTTGTACCCAATAGACACAAATTTAGTGCCAGTCCCTTGAACTTTGGAAAACAGTAGTTGCTGGTCCCTTCTATCGGCTAATCTGAGAAGCAGTATTCTATACAAAGATTTTCAGATTAACATTAACAGAACTAGTTCATTCAACTTACTGCTGAATACTGTGATGACATGAACGTATTTTTTCCTTCAAGAAATAAGAAGCACAATAGTATTATAATATTGCTATTACTACTGTTAAATGTCAACTTATTTATCCAGTTAACGAAACTGTAACTGCTTTGTTTTTGTTCCCAAGTTCAGGCAAGCAATAAAAGTTTGTCAGGTTCTCAGAACATTATTTATTTACTATCTTTATAACCCACATTTCTTTCCGAAAAGATTTAAACTAAGTGAATACAAAATTTAAAAACAATTAAATAATATTGTGTGTCTGGTTAAAAATACAATTAGAATATAATAAATACAATTAAATGCATTTTAAAACACAACCCCCCCCCACCCAAAAAAAACAATCCCACTTATAATCTCCCTAGCTGCCTGCCCAATATCCTTCTCCAAATGATTGGTGGCAGAGAAAGGCATTGACCTGCTTGCAGAAAGGTAGCAGGGATGGTGCCATCCTGGTTTCTCTTGGGAGGGAGAATATATATTTTGGGAGAGCTTCTACACAGTTTGCTTTGCTTTTAACCACATTCAGAAAATTTTGTTTAATAGTGTGCTTTGAATGTGCCTTGAACTGAACTGTGGTGAAATAGAAGGCGTGTTGTATGTGATTATTTTAAAACTATAACAGACCTCTAGTTTACTGGTTAAAGTTTCCATAACAAGCCATTCAGTTCTACAGATTGTTAAAGAGTCGCAACAACAACATGGATTACGGCATGGTGATTTTCAGAGATACAGGTTAGTGTGAAAAGATCAGTGTATGCAACCTAGTTGATGGACAAAAAGAGCCTTTTTGTTAATATAAGTGGGACTAAATTAATGACAGTTCTTTAAGTGCCCCAAAAGATGCAATTTTTAGAGAAAGGTGTTCAAACCAAAGAAACTTTTATTCTAAGTGTATTTACAATTGATTTCCAATTTTTTTCCCTGTGTGCTTGAATTTATATGTTGAGTGGTTAGTCTCCTAAATTCTTGCGTGTTTAATGTGTGCAGAGGTAGAATCCTTTTCAATGTTGAGGGGTATCCAAATGAATGGAAAGTGTATTGCTTAGAACTATGTGTCTGTTACGTTAGCCACCTGAGGTATGATGGAATGAACTAATAAAGAATTGCTATATGATGCCATTGGGAGACTCAGTATCTGTAGCACTTTTTAAGATGTAATTCACAACATTTCTTGTATGACTGCTTTCTTCTACTTTAAGAATTGAAGACAAAGCCAACTATTAAAGATCTAGCTTTTCCATGGCTTCATCTTTGGCCATATCTTAGACTTAGTGCCATCTTCCAAATATAATTCTGAATTTGTCACATCCTATTTTTTATGGATGTATTCTACATAGGGGGACTGTTTTCTCTTTGTGTTGGTGAGACAGAGGGGGAAAAGGCAAGTTTAGGTTAGGACAGAAAGGGGACAGAAGGCAAATCTACATTAGAACTAACAGTTTTTAAAATTGCTTTGGCCTGCAGGGGTTATTGTTCCAGACGACTAAGAAGACTCAGAAAAACTCTTAACTTCAAGATGGGGAATAGGCATAAATTCACAGGGAAGAAAGTAACCGAAGAACTGTTATCTGACAACAGGTACTTGCATAGAACTAAAACTTCTATTTCTGGCTTTAGGGTAGATTGGGGGAAGTGGGAGGAGGTTCTGTGGTTCTGCTCCTGTATTTGACAGAAGCTATGATTTTAGTTCTTATGCTGGCAAAGAAATCGAGCAAGCCACCCCGACTCTCCCTATCATGTCTAACTTGTAGTAGAAGAGAAGAGTACATATAAATTACCTTTGTGGCTCATGGGAGCTCAGGATGTTTATCAGACATAGAAGAAAACCAACAAACATGAGACAGTAAATAAAGAGCCTTAGGTAGTACTGAAAAATATATGATGTTTTGATAACATGCTACAATGCCCAGCGTGTGTGAAAATTAGGACCTTAAGAAGGATTTTCTTTGTTGCTATAATAAGAAATGGCTTGCTTTCCATTAGGGTTTTTGCCAAATGTATTTTGGCACTCTGCTGCTTGATTTGCATTTTATAAGCCTTTTCAGTACAATGTTGAGACCTTGCAATTTCTTCTAGTACCTAGGAAGTATACAGCCAAAAAAACCCACAAAAAAACCTTTGCTCTCATTCCTAGGTATGTTTTTGCCTTAGACAAAATCCCTCTTCTGGCCTCTTAAGAGAGGAGTAGAAGGCTTCCCAATACATTTATCCGTGAATAGCGACAGTCCTTGAAGACAAAATTTGCCAGCCTTTGCTGAAATTATCACTAAATAGCCCTCACTGCTTCTTTGCTATGCAAACTGTTCTTTGATAAAAATGTAATATTCTGGGAAGTAGCATTTTGCATTTGCTGTAAGTGGGGTTTTTTTTTTTTCAACTGGAGAAGAGTTAGGAATGTGTGCTTTATTATTATTATTATTTAGAAAATTCACCATGTTGGTCAGCTCTGAACCAGTATGATAAAAATGATTTGCTGCAGATTTTTATCTTCTTCCACATGCCAGACTATTATGCTAATTTGTGGATTGGAAGGAAAAATAGCCGCGTCCAATTATTTCCACTTATGTTTTTTTTTTATTGAGTATCAGATGACCTGTTTTCACATGCCTGAGGTGATGCAAAGCTGCATGGGAACTATATCTGTGTGCCATTCACTGTGTAGGAGCCAGCAAGTTTAGTGTGTGGGGGGCAGTTCAAAATAGCAGTTGCAGTCAACTTGCTTAGTACTTCTTTTTCAAGATAACTGTATCCTTTCTAGGCCTAGTACTATATGGTTATGTCTCACTTGGAACAACTGTTGTCAGAACATAACATATAGAAATGTGGTATAGGGTCCAGTGTTGTGCCACAGAAGAATGATATCAACACAGTTGCTGTATACAAATCAACTTTTAAAAGGAGGTTTGAATGGTTAGGGCTATTTGCCAGAATACCTGATTAGGGCTTTAAAAGTCTAGGAGCATAACTATTTATATTCTAGATCCATGGGCCTATTTTCAAAATAAAGGGGGGAAAGGTTTGCTTTGGAATACATTTATGAAGTGATAACATTATTTAATACCTAACACTGTAGATACCTGCTCTTAATTCTCATGGATGCGGAAAGAGCCTGGAGCTATGCTATGCAGCTTAAGCAAGAAGCCAACACAGAACCCCGCAAACGATTTCACTTGTTGTCCCGCCTGCGCAAAGCCGTAAAACATGCTGAGGAACTGGAGCGACTTTGCGAAAGCAACCGGGTGGATGCCAAAACCAAATTGGAAGCTCAGGTTACTGCTCATTTTGAAATATTTTAGAGAGAGAGAAAATGTAAACTAATTTTTTGTTGCCCTTTGAACAAATGACTCTGAATTCGAAGTAATATTCACGTGTCTTGTGAAGATTCGGTCAAAAATGTCCAATATATCTTCAGTTAACTTGTTGAGACAGTAAAAGAACAACGTTTATTGAATCAGAGCAGTGGTCTGTGTAATCTTAATCCGAAATCAAATCAGGCCAGCACAGAAAAAGTAAAGACTAGAAAAACTACTTGCAGACAATTGTTAGTGTAGTTTAGTCCATTTCTTACACATCTCTCTGAGGCTGATGTTTTTAAAGAAGTTACATGGTAACACCTGCAGCAAAACATGTATCATGGACATTATTGTACAATAGACTGTAGTGCTTGTGGGCATGCAATGAATGGCAATGTACTAAATGTATGAATATGGTTTTTAGAAATATCAGGCCTTGTTATCCTAATAATAATAATAATCATCATCATCATCATCATCTTTATTTATACCCCTCCACCGTCTCCCCAAGGGGACTCGGGGTGGCTAACATGAGGCCAAGCCCAAGAATTACAATAAGGCAAACTAAAAAACATACAAGCAAGTAATATCAAATAAAGTGCAAACAATAACAAAATATACAATAGAATAAACACAAAATAAAGTGGTAAAGGAATTAAAACACTGGTCTGGGCCAAATGCAAGGGATAAAATTATAAAACTCTGGGTGAGATGGATAAATAGAGTAATGTGTCTGATGGGAGACTGAGATGGGACAAACAATGAGGTTAATCTTCACTGAGGGACGAGAGAAAGTGCATCAAGAGGACAGATTTATACTGGGACGGACATGGTATGAGAATTTGTTGTTCGTTCGTCAAAGGCACACGGGAAAAGACAGGTTTTTATGCATTTCCTAAAGGCTGCCAGCGTAGGTGTTTGCCTAATCTACCTGGGTAGTGAGTTCCAGAGTCGAGGGGCCACCACAGAGAAGGCCCTCTCCCTCGTCCCCACAAGCCGCACTTGTGATGGAGGTGGGAGCGAGAGGAGGACCTCCCTGGAAGATCAGAAAGATCATGCAGGTTCATAGAAGGAAATGCGATCACAAAGGTAAGTGGGTCCCAAACCATTCAGGGCTTTTAAGGTGATAACCTGAGCCTTCAATTGGGACCAGAAAATGAACGGCAGCCAGTGGAGCTCCTTAAACAAGGGGTAGATTGCTCCCGGTAATTCACTCCAATTAGCAGTCTAGCTGCCAATAATTGGACCAATTTAAGTTTCCAGGCCATCTTCAAAGGCAGCCCCACATAGAGTGCATTGCAATAATCCAATCAAGAGGTAATTAAGACCTCATCAAGCACAGGCTGCCACCCTGTACCCCAATCCAACATGCGACTGACCTGAAGGACCTCTGTCTTGTCGGGATTAATCTTCAGTTTGTTCACCCCCAACCAGACAGTAGTCCAGTATCCGAGGGGCTTCCTTGGATTTGGGTGGAAAGGAGTAGTAGAGTTGAGCATCATCTGCATAGAGATGGCACAAAACTCCGGATGACCCCACCCAGCAGTTTCATGTAGATGGTAAAAAGGTTACTTCCTTCTGCATTTAGCCAGCAGAAAATCTTTAGATCAGAAGCATGCCTCTGGCTGGATTAGGCTGAATCCAACCCATTACCCTGAAGATGCTGTTTCATTATCTTGATTTAGCACCATAAAGGAAACATTAATAATTGCCCTTTTATTCAAGTTTCTGATTGCGGCATCACATTCTCTGGTAGCAAACCGAGCACTAAATGATAGCAAAACCCCCTGAGAAACTGCAGGAAAGTTATCAAGATATTCAGCAGAATCCTGCTAAAGAACAGCCTCAGGCACAACGTTCTGAATCATCACAAATACAGAGTGCTGATTAGTGGAAGGAGAGGAAACAAAACAAAATTGGGGAAATTGGGTTGTTGGATCGCTTCCTTGAGTTCTTTATAGATTCTAGTCCCTTGGAGGAAAACATGATAGGCAGACTGGAACTGTGAACAAATGTCAGGAAGAAATGCTTTGTGGCATTTTCTTGTAGAGCCTACATTTGGAACCAAAGTGGAATAAATGAGCCCTTTCTGATACTACAGGTAAAGAGTAGATTGTATTTTGCAGAAAAACCTGTCAAAAAACTTAATTTGTTTAAATTGTATTTTGCGAATTCTTAGGAGTAATAGATCTAGTGTGTTTCAAAGAATTTATGATAATAGAGAGGACTGTGTTTTTGGGTTGCTGTGAGTTTTCTGGGCTGTATGGCCATGTTCCATACAGCATGGAAAACTCAAAACAACGCATTGATTCTGGTCATGAAAGTCTTCTACAATACAATTGTGTTTTCAGTGGGTTTCTGTTCCATACTGATAATTTTCTTATAAAAGATAAAAATTATAGAGTTGCACTGGCTAACTTTTATTCCATCCCTTTTATAGGCATACACAGCTTATCTTACAGGTATGCTTCGTTTTGAGCGGCAAGAATGGAAAGCAGCAATGGAGGCTTTTAACAAGTGCAAGTGAGTTTAGCCTTCATATGATCACTGACATGATTAGGAATATTAATCAGATATTTTCTCTGTGAAATTTTATTGTGTGAAATTTAAGCCTAGAGTTGCTCTCCTCGTGCTGATCAGCGTAATAGGTAATTTTAAAAGGCAGCTTAAATTCTATTTTGTTCTGTACTTCATTAATTCTTTACTGAAAAAAGAGAAATAATAAAAAAGACTCACACTGTTACGAAATCCTAAATATTGTTTTTTACTTTTCTGTTACAGAACCATATATGAAAAATTGGCAAGTGCTTTTACAGAGGAGCAGGCAATATTATACAATCAGCGAGTGGAAGAGATCTCTCCAAATATTCGCTACTGTGCTTATAATATTGGTAAGTTATCCAAGTGTGGGGCATTACCGAAAGAGTGTTGGCAATATTGTTAGACTTGCAAATCATTGTTAGACTTGCAAATCAGACAATAAGAAATAATGGGTGTTAGTACATTTGCCTGTTTTATGTATTGGGATCCAGAATGTTTCCCAGCTTTGAATTTCAAGTCAAAGTGGGTATGAATAAGAATTCTTACCTGCCATAAGACAATACGAAAATCCAAGAAAACAAATCCAAGCTCATGTTTCTTTTCTATTATCATGAATAACACTTACCTTCTCCCTACCATCCTTAACTTTAGGATCTTACAAAAACAAAACAAAACAGACATTTGGTTCAAACCCTCTTGTTTCAGTAAAGACCAGTACACATGTGACCTGATGTTTCTCATTGATACATTTTCTTTCTGTGTTTAATTAAGAAAGAGACTACAATTGTCACATGGTGTCTGTGTGAGAATGTTCTTAACCCTTATCCTTCCAGCATTTGTTTTATGTCCCAGGGGTTTTCTTTTCCCTGCAAATAACCATGCCTTTTTCCATTCAGTGGAGAAAGCAAGTAACTCTTAGTGGGAAAGAGTTTAAAAGCTCTCTCCTACATTTTAGGTTTAAACTTCCAATGACAATTATTTGTGTGTCAAAGAATAATGTACTCTAATAACTAATGCTTGTATAAGTGTATTTAGCACTTTGGTATTCTTAGCCTATAGCCTGTTCCTCTCTTAGTATGGACCAGGACAGTAAAACCTGTAGCCCTCTAGGTGTTTGGGGCTCCAACTCCCAGAAGCTCTAGCCATCTTGTTCAGTGGTTAGGAATTCTGGAAGCTGAAGTCCCAGAATGGGTGTTTGGACTAGATGGCCCATGTGGTCTCTTCCAACGCAATTATTCTATGGTTCTATGAAGTCGAAAACACCTGGAAGACCACAGGTTGAGCAGGCCTCCTATGGACTTTACATGGCAATTTTTTTCTTATGTTACTGTTTCATCATATGTTTGGATGTTCATAAATCTTAGAAAAGCACACTGACTGACTTTGTGCTCCTAATATTATTACATTTGGTTTGTGATCAAGAATCTCTTGAAGCTTCACATCCTATTTTCATTAGAGAAGAAACCTTTTTGCTAAATTATGTACTAACCGTTTCCTGTCATTTATTCGTTAGGTGACCAGTCTGCTATTAGTGAACTGATGCAGATGAGACTAAGATCTGGAGGCACCGAAGGGCTTGTTGCTGAAAAGCTGGAGGTAACTAATTGTGCTTCTTCGTGTTTTCAAAAAATCATGGCAGGGCAGCTCTTTTTAATTTCTGTATTACCTTGGATTTAAATAAAATCCAACACTGTGTGCAACAATTCAAAGATTAAAACAAAAAAGGCTAATGAAAATAAATTTAAAAGGTGTACTATAATGACTGTACCAAAACAGCATAAGTTTGCAAGAAAAAATTAGACAATTACAATTAATTACCAGACCTGCCCAAGTTTGACAGGTTCAGAGATCCCACAATCGCCATTCCAATTCCTTCCCTTTCCACTCTTTTTCTTTTCTGTCCCCCTTCCTTTCTCTTTCTTCACTCTTGTATTCATTCAGGCTTTTCATGCTGCTCCCTGCCTCTTTACAAGCCAGCATAATCTTTTCTCTCTCTTAATCATTAGAAGAGCTTGGATTTTCAATTTTGTGAAGCTGGCAAAGACGCTCTCTGAAGAAATTAGCTCAGACCTATCTGCAGTTTGTCCCTAGTTGTTAGGAAAGGTTAGAACATTCTGCCACTTGGTGATTGAAGATGCTGTTACAGGCAGCAGACATTCAAAATAAAAATGAGCAATGTTTGAAAACATAATAATTCCAGGGTGTACTTCAATCAAGCCTGCTTAGTAACCATGCCTTGTTTCAGATGCCCAACGTTTCACAATGTTGAAATTATGGCAGGGAGAAAACACAAAAAGGGCACACATTTTCTTTTATTATGAAAGATTTGACACCATCCTTTTATGCAAATCCAGTGCTATGTGTCCTGTGTCACAAGCAGTGAAAGAGAGCCAGTATCTTTGTGGGCTTTTCCATTTTTTTTCAGGAGCATTTTTTTAAGTGAACAGAGGACTGCAGCAGGCCGGGAGATTGTCATTCACCCAGTTCTACTGGCATAAGCCTATATGTCCCATTAGATCCACGTGATTGTTCAGAAAAGTTAGAAAGTTTTATATCAATTTTCTTGACTGATGTTCTTATGCATATTTTTTTCTTTTCCTTTGTAGAGTTAATTATTGTAATTTTTTGTGGAAGCCTAGGATATCTGTTTCAAAAGTATTTAAATGTGTGTTTGGGGGAGGGAGTGTTGCCTGGGATTATAGAATAAAAATATTTCCAAATCAATGCAGAATCCAACATTTAAAGAAATTAATCTGCAAAACTAAAGTGCTATTTTGAAAGAGAGGAATCTGCAATATTGGTGCTGCAGCCCAAAAGGCTATGCTACTTGTGGGGACTATTTTACCTTAATGTAAAGTCGTCTGAACCAGGGCTCCACACGGCAGTTTTAATGGCTCAGGGGAAATGAGGGATATCTTGTTTTTTTAACATCCTGATTCCAAAGTCCCTGACAAGTGAAGCTTCTGTGGGAATCACATCTCCTGTCCCAGTCTGGTTTTAAGAGCTCAGTCTGTTTTTAAGAATTTGAAGATTACTAAGAGTCTGGTCTTGGATGCAGGCCCCTGTCCTAGTAGCTGTTCCTGCAAAGAGCTATCCAGTCTGGGTCCTCTTGAAACGATTTTAGATCTTCTCTAGCTCTATGGTTGGCAGTCCAGATCTTGATCTTTTTAAAAAAGTTTTTTATGGTCAAGTACAAAACTGGCTAGAACTTATTGTTTGTGTGTGTGTGTGTGTTTGGGGATAATCTCTGTAGAAATATTTTCTATATTTTGAATTCTAATTATCTGCCTTAAGAGGTAGAACAGAATAGTCCTTTAAAACAACATAATTACACTGAAAGCTTAACTGTCATAATTTATAGCTGTTTTGTAGTTCAAAAATTAAACAAGCAGAACATGGTTGAAAATAAAAGCACACATTTCTAAATAACGATTTTTCTAGGCATTAATCACCCAAACTAGAGCAAAGCAGGCAGCTACGATGAGTGAGGTGGAATGGAGGGGAAGGACTGTGCCGGTCAAGATAGACAAAGTGAGGATCTTCCTCCTGGGACTGGCAGATACTGAAGCAGCCATTGCTCAGGTAAGTAGAAAATATTTTATTGTAATCAACATTCTATATTCGTTTGCATGCCTAAATTGCTATACGTTACTTCTTTGACATATTTGGAGGAAGAGGTGAGGAAAGGAAGCAGTTCAAATACAAAAGCTTTGTAACATAGCTGTGAGATGGGGAATCAACTTAATATGAAGGTATGGTGTGCTGCATAATCTAAACCAGTTGTCATCCTTGTTGACTGGGGATGAGGAGAGCTGTAATGCAGGAACACTTCTGGAGGGTGCCAGACTTTCACCTTGTTCACTGGCAGTGCTAAAGCTCTGGACATTTTACTTGATCACTAATTGGTTTTCCCTTTGCATGCCTGAAGTTGAGAGCCTCCTGTGGGTGCAGTTGAGAATGTTGTTAGACTTGTCTGACCTGCCTCTACTGGTTCAAAGATTTAGAATATATTTTAATTTGAGTTCTTTTAATCATGCCTGACGAACATACTTGTAAAATGTATCAATCAAATTAACATTTCATGGATAAGCAGTTAAAACTGCTGTTATCAAATTCATCCACCAGCTGACATCCTCACAATTAGTATGTTTTTGAGGGGCTTATGTTTCAGTACATGAAACGCTGAGAAATTGATGTGAAGTACAGCCTTAAAGGGGAGCGGGGGGTCTGCAGATCATGAATCTTAAGTACATGTGTCAAACCAATCTCTACCCCAAAAATAGGAAGACCAAAGAATCCCAAGGTCAGTGTGATTGGGAGAAAATTCACTAAGATGCTTAGGCTGAATTTATTTGGTTTCATGCCTCAGATTTTCATCACTGAGTGGGAAATGAAAAGGGAAAGCTTTAGGGTAATTAAAAGAGAAAAACAGTTCCTATTATTATTATTACATTTATTTTCATTTTGTTACAAAAAACCATATCTACAATCCATATAGTCATTTCTTCTCCTTTCCCCCATTGTGCCACCCATTGTGCTCCCCATCGCCAGAGTCCTTCTTTTCTTTATGATCCCACCAAAACCTCATTTCTTCTGGTGGGGGTTGGTTTCCATCTTCTTTATTTAATGTTTCTTCAAAAAAAAATCCATTTACTTTTAAAATCATTATTCTTAAATAAGGATTTAAACCTTTTGATTACATGTTAATTTGTCATTTATTGCTGATTTCCAAATTTCCTGACAGCTGTGGGTTATTTTTAGCATCAGAATAGGGATTACACTTCATATAGTTTAACATAGAATGGGATAGGAGCCACATTTAGAAAGTTATTAATATGCCTTACTGTGGAAAAGAAAAGAGATAACGCTTTGCATTTTGGGTTCTCTTTTCTCACATGCTATGAGATATTCTATCTTTCAGTTTCACCCCTTAGATCAGGCTTGCACAACCTGCAGCCTTCCAGGTGTTTTGACCTCCCAACTCCCAGAAGCTGTAGCCAGCTTTTCTAGTGGCCAGGAATTCTGGGAGTTGGAGGCCAAAAAAGCTGGAGGACCACAGGTTGTGCAGGGCTGTCTTGGCTAATGCTTAGATGTTCATTGATCTCTTGATACAAGCAACAAATAACCTGATAAAAATTACTGACACATTACTAAAATTGAGTTTTTACATTTGTTCCTTTTCAATGATATTGAGCATAAACAGTATGATTTCCCTTGGAATATCACCCTGTTAGTGATGAAGACAACTGTCCACAGTGTGTCAATCAGTGGCATAGGCTTCAGTGATATTTCATATGTTACTGCATAATATTTTTAATAGCCGAGGTTGCTGATGTGAGGAGGTTTTTTATCTCCCTTTTGGACTTGGGGGTGGGATAGCAGTGGCTGAAGGGATTTTAAGTGCTTTTGTACTTCTTTATTCAGACAGAAGAAGAAGAAACTAAAGAACGTTTGTTTGAATCCTTACTGAGTGAGTGTCGGGATGCAATACAAGCTGTACGTGAAGAACTGAAACCAGATCAGGTCAGCACAAAGTATTATGCTTTACCATATAACAATCTTCTTGACAAGTTTAGTAAGGTTTTTTTTTTTTTTTGAGATAATAAGTATGCATTTCCTTCCCCTTTGATCATCTGTCTTTGACTTCCATAAATGAATGCAGTACATGCTTTCTTCTTTATACAGAAGCAACGTGATCACTCTTTGGAAGCAGATTCAGGGAAAGTCACTAACATCCAATACTTGCACAGGTAAAGAGTTTGTTCTGGAAGCTGGGCTTATTAGTTTGGATGGAGTCTACGTAAATGTGAAATTTGTGTCATTCTATGAAATTTTGATATTAGCTTCAATCTCTGATGGGACCAGTCATAATGGGGCTTATGATGCACCTATATGGTTTTGTTTTTAATACAATTAACTCTTTTAATTTGTGCCTTCTAGTTACCTGACATACATCAAGTTGTCTACAGCAATCAAGCGCAATGAGAGTATGGCCAAAGCTTTGCAGAAGGCATTGCTTCAGCAGCAGCAGCCACTGGAGGAAGATGGCAAGCGCACCCCTCGGCCTCAGGATCTGATACGTCTCTATGACATCATTTTGCAGGTAACCACTCAAGGAAAAGAAAACTATTCTTTCTGATTGATGTACAGGTCAGCATGAGATCAAAATCACTGTTCACTTGAAAAGACATTCTAATGCTTTGTTAGACAAGAGAAGATCATAATCCTTCATTGAAAATTCTGCAGTGGGAATAATGCTTGAATTCTAAAGTATTTTCCAGTCTTTCCATTCACAGTAAATACAACCCTGCCGTGTTCACTGCATTTACTAAGCCCAAAAGGAACCTGGTTCAGACCAGTAAGTGACTGTCTAAACACCTGTAGTTATTTTATTTTTGAGTCTTAGGCTTTTCACAGAGATGCATTCACTGAATAAAACTAAACTTAATGTACACATCCCTTCACTTTTCTATATGAGCCCTTCTTGCAGTTGCCACAAAGATCATTCAAACATTTGTGGGTTATTCTTTGGAACATAAATAAAGAGGATGTTACATTGTAAGAAAATTATACATTCCTTTTAAATGAGAAGAGTGCTGGAAACTTTGATAGCTTACCTATTCAGTTATTTATTGTGTTTTCTTAAGACATTTGACTCTCATTTGGTCCTCACTGCAATAGTATATAAAACTGAGTAGAATGTACTTTGATTTATAAATTGCTAAATGAACAGCTTATTACAAGCTGATGTTTTGTTGGTTTTTAAATTCTTGTTTTATTTCACTAAAGAATCTGGCAGAATTGCCGCAACTTCCTGGTCTAGAAGAAGACAAAAACTTCCTAAAGGAGATTGGGATAAAGACACTTGTGTATAAGGCTTACAGGTAATTTTCAAGTAGACAAATTCCTTGATTAGCTGTGATAGGAATTGAGCAATATCCACTATGTAGTTAATGTTTTAATATAAAAGTTCAAGTGCAAAGGACATCAGTAAAAATACATCAGTGCTGCTTTGCAAACTGCAGCATGGCTACTAAAAGGAAGCTTCTTGCCTGTCATTCCAGTGGAAATGTACATTTATTAAAAAGATATGAACAGCAAGTAAACCAAAAAATGCTTAGTAACCCTAGGTGAATAGATATATAAAATAGGCATTAAAATCAAGTATTTTCTGATAACAAATCAGCATTTGCAAGTCTTGCTGGACATGCTGATTTTTCTTTTTATTAGGTGCAGCTGAAACATCTTCTGCAGAGTCCACTGTAAACACTGTGCAACGTATTTTTGTAAATGTCTGAAACAGCCACTAAGTGATTTTTAGAAAACTTTTTGGGGACCCAAATATTAAGGGGACCCCATTTGGGGTCTGTACCCACAGTTTAAGAAGTAGTTCTCTAGAGGGCTGTGCTAATGCCTTGCCCAGCAATGAAACAAATCTAGATTTGGAGACACCTTCCTTGTATACCACACTTCTCCAAACGCACCAGCTCCTTTATAAATGAAATACTTTTACTGTTGGTAGAAGAATACCATTGTATACAGGGCGCCTTCCATATAGCTGAATAAAATCCTAGCTGATCTGCTTTGAACTGGAATATATGCCAGTGTGGAGTCAGGTAACCCAGTTCAGAGCAGATATTATAGGATTTTATGCCTTGAAAATCCCATTAGGCTCCAGGTCAGTAAGATGGATTTTTTTGTACAGTATAATAGACAAGAAATTGGGCAGTGGCATGAGTATTACAGGAGGCACTTCAGCTGCTCCCATACAGATACCATCTTAGTCATTCATGTTGTCTAGTCAGCCTTCTAACAGAATGATAGGCATTACAGTCTTCCATGTTTGCTGGCTGTGAAAGTATCTAAAGGGACTATATCAGGCATGAGCAGACTTTGGCCCTTCAGGTGTTTTGAACTTCAGCTCCCACAATTCCTAACAGCCAGTAAGCTAGCTGGGATTTCTGGGAGTTGGTCCAAAACATCTGGAGGATCAAAGTTTGCCCATGCCTGGGCCACACGTTTTCGATGCTTCAGCTTTTGGTTGTATATGTTATAGAATGAATGTATTCAATGCTTTCTTCCCAATCCGACAGGTGCTTTTTCATTGCACAATCATATGTTCTGGTGAAGAAGTGGAGTGAAGCCCTTGTTTTGTATGAACGTGTTTTGAAATATGCCAATGAAGTCCAGGCTCAGGCCGGAACTTATGAAAACAGCTTAAAGGTATGAAACCTCATGCAGCGTGATGAACCTTTTGTTACTGAGGGTTCTGAAATGACAATGAACCAATGGCTAAAGGCTGTGCGCTTCTATTATTTACTGTCAAGGGTCTAATGCTGTGTTCAGAGTATTATTTTATAGGCCTAGCTCAGAAATGTCACTTCGTTTTTGCAGCAGAAACAAAGATTCTTAGTATTTCTGGAATCGTACTGATAATATGTAACTCTTTGGGGATCGCAGATACAGGGCTCAGAGTATAATAGATACCCCACAGTCCATCTGAAACTGCCTAAACTTTTCTTCATTGGTGTTATTTACCTTCATGCATGGTCCTTTTAAGGCAAAAAATCCATTGCTTGAAACTGACTAAGAAACATAACACTTTGATACCTGCAAGATGTGTTTTATAGGATTGATCTATTATTATATAGGAGCTGCCTGATGTTCAAGAGCTGATCACCCAAGTGAATGCAGAGAAATTCTCTTTGCAAGCCGCTGCTATATTAGGTGAGTAAGGGTGTCATTTCTTCTGTTTTCCATCATAAAGACAAAAATGGCACCTTCTATGTCAAATGCTGAAATGTTTTTTGGCCTTGTGGATCTTCATGTGTCAAACTTCATACTTCTAGTTACTAGTCTTGATATCATTATCACTTGAGCTAAAAGGTTGAAAGGCTGAACTGTGTCAATAACAGCATCTTAGTTGGAATGGATCTGAGTGACTATCTGCAAAGTGCCTTGCATATTCTTAACAGCGGGCTGCTAAATGGTCAGGGATTTCTCCTTGAGGACCAGTATGCAGTAGCCCTCTGACCACTCAAAACAGTTCAGCTGGATGGTTTCTTGCAGATACAATGGTGGCAGCAAGGAATGATTTCTCTGCTACCTTCATTGCTCCAGAGTAGGCTTTCAAATACGCTCTTAAGCCGTGTTCGGTCAGATTTACTTTGAGTTCTCTGCCGATGTTGCTCTAGTCTCTATCTCACTTGCTTCATTGCCGCCAACTCCTTAGAAAACCAAAGAACTGGTTTGGCTTTACTCCGTGGGAGGGCATGTTCAGGAGCTATTATTTCCACCACCCTAGCCATTTCCTCAATCCAGAGGTCAGCCAAAACTTCAACAGAATTGTTTGCTGAGGTGACAGGAAAATCCCCAAGACCTGTCAGGAATCCATCCGGATCCATAAGCCTCCTGGGGTGGATCATCTTAATGGGTCCCCACCCCATAGAGAGTTGGAGTCCCTGCAAGTCTAAACCTGACCAGGTAGTGATCGGTCCATGACAACGGAATTGTGACAAGTTCCTCCACACCACAATCGCCATCATCCCATCTTGCACAGGAAACAAGGCCCGAACATAGGTGTCTGGCAGCATGGGCAGGGCAAGACACCACTTGGGGCGGACCCATGGCTGTCATGGAGGCCAGAAAGTCCTGAGCCATCCCTGACAGGACAGTCTCAGCATGGATGTGAAAGTCTCCCAGCACTTTAGTTAAATACACTCGATCGCTGTTGACTGTGGGATGGGGAACCTGGTCAGAATGATGGAATAAAATAACTACATTGTATTGTGATTAAAAAAGACAAGAGATAACTTTTTCAGTTCTGTAATGGAAATTGTTTTAATTACTCCAATAGTTACGGGCAGTGTGCCCGCACCATTCATATGTTTGGTGTACCATAGGCCAGTGGCTTTGAAATGTCTGATTATTTTACAAAACAACAACTAATCTTTTTAGTTACTTTCAAACACTGAGAAAGGAAATAGTTCCTTTTTGAGATAGCGAGTACAGCAATAACTATTCCCAAGATTTGTAACTTAATAACTTTAAGTATTTTAAATATTAATAATAAAGGACAAACGTCAATCTAAGGGGAAGTTATTGAAAACGAACATTAATGCCATCCCTGCCYCCCCCCCCCCCTTTTGACGAGAAAAACTCTGACATAGACATTTCATTCAAGATACTAGGTATTTTGGAATTCAATTTATAGTGTATTTTGTGTAGTCATCCTTACCTCTCCCTGTCTGAGTCTTATTATGTCTAGTTCAGAAATTTAATTACTTGCAATTTTATTTTCCTAAATTACTTTTGTGACTCTTCCAGATGCAGATGACAGTCATGAGACTGAGTCCCCATCCCAAGTCAAAGATGGCAAGGTATGTCAGTTTTGTTATCTTCCAAATGATCAACAGATAGGGCAGAATTCTTCTCAACTTAAGGACTATTTATTTTCCACTTATTCATTATAAATATATATTTTTATGTATGCATACCGGACTAATGTTTAGTTTATTAGCATTGGTTTACAAACAATCTCTCTTCAGACTCCCCCCTATTTATATTTTCACTCTTTCACTTTTAAATCTGGCCTTCATAGTAATGAGAAATCAAGATGTCTTTTTTAAAAAATGTAGAGGATTCCCTAGGGTTCTAAAGAACAGTGTCATGAGGAACATAGGAAGCTGCTTTATGTTGAATCAGGCCATTGATTTGTCTAGAGCAGAATTGCCAATTCTGGCAAGGGCAGTCCCCCAGGTTTTCTGGCAGGGCTCTTCTTCAGATGTACTAAGGAAATCCCTGGTGGTTTTAATCCCAAATTCTCACCAGGCCCAGTCCTATTATGCTTCTAAAATAAAAATAAGTCTGGGTGCATTCCGAGCGATAAGTTAAGTTTATATCTGTGCACAAGAATGAAGGATAATTTCTGGGAGGAAACCCTACATGTTAGATGCTCTTTGAAGATGAGATCTTTTTCATCAGGAAGTCTTAACAATTATTGTACCAATCTTGCACTTCTGCATCTGGATTTTTTTATTTTTAGATTATATATTTTCTCATTGTGCATATGCAATAGAAAGGGGGGGGGGGTTGTTTAAATTATTCTAAACATATTACCTGGGAAAGAGGAGCTGATGGGAAAGGAGATGAATAAGCACCAGAGATTTCTGCTAAAGCTATATAATGATTTCTGATATTAGACCAGAGGTGTCGAACTCTTTTTCTCTGAGAGCCACATCAGCGTTGTGGTTGCCTTGAAAGGTTCGTTAAGTCAAAGGATGGAAAATCTATGCATACAGAGGGCCAACTATATTTTTTGGCATAGTGGCTGGAGCTCCAAATATTACTGAACGACAACTCCCATCTCTTTTGATTATCTGCCGTGTGGACTGGGGATAATGGGAATTGCAACCCAATAGCACTTGTAGTTATGAGGTTGCGGAAAGGTTAAAGGACATTTTAATGACATCATATCTGCAAGCCTTGTATCTAAATTCAAACCCCTCTCTCCTGACTAAACAGAACAAACTGCAAACTTCCAGATTTTACTGTATCACAACTCCCATCAGTTCTAGTTGTGATGCATAATGATGAGGAATACAGGAGTTGTAGTCCAGCATCTGGATGGGCACATAAAATGACACGAGGGGCCAGATTTGGCCCATGGGTCTTGAGTTTGACATATATATATATTAGACTAGATTTACTATGTTTTATTGCATAGCAAATTTGGTTTCAAAAACTCAACTCATTGTGCACTTGTGCCCCGCTTTGTGCTGGTCCATGACCATAATAAAGTTTTGTATTGTATTGTATTGTACTCAACTCATTGCTTTTTATTTCCTTTTCTACCTCAAGCCACTTTCTGAACGATTTGAGACCTTCTGTCTGGATCCTTCCCTGGTCAGCAAGCAAGCCCGCCTTGTGCATTTCCCTCCAGATTTCCAGCCCATACCATGCAAGCCTTTGTTCTTTGACCTGGCCCTCAATCACGTCACTCTCCCGCCCCTGGAAGACAAGGTGGAGCAGAAGTCAAAGAGTGGTCTTACAGGATATATCAAGGGCATCTTTGGATTCCGGAGTTAACCAGGGTCACCTCACAAAGAATGCTCAATCTTCCTGTATTTTGGGGGAAACCTCCAGCAGATTCAGGGTTTAGCTTACCTATGTTTAAAAACCCACATGGGGGTTTTACAGCATTTTCCCAGTATTCTGTCTCTGTCTACCTGGTTTAATGGGAGTATTTCACTCTGAGAACTTGCGTAATGTCTGTTTCCAACATCTCAACCTTATGGAATGAACTTGAAGCCTCAAGCCACTTCTACACAATGGCTCAGACAGAAACAAGATTCATTTTATCTGAGCTAGGTATATTTACAGTTTATTTCATAGCTAATACTATCCATTTAATTTTTTTTTGAAAACCAGTGCACTCCTCTGGACCGTACAGAGCAGAGGGAAACCAAAGGCACAATTCTGTATCTGGTCTGGGTTGGGCTGCCTAAGAAGAGCTGAGCAAATTCTTGTGCTGCTTGCTGCATTTGGGGTTTATTTACAGCCATGTATTTTCTTCTTGTAGTTTTAGTTCCAGAAGCTGCAGAGCTCTCAAATGCTTGGATTAAAGATCAAGGTTGATAGATGGTGATTAAAATCGTCAAAGTAGATTGTATAGAAATACAGTTAAAAGCCTATGATATAATATTTCTTTGCTGAGGCTGTACTTCTCATAGCAACAGAATGTTTCTCAGAGGCCTCCTTCTGAAAGTAAAAAAGGCTTTGGATTCAAAAAGAATAAGCATGTTACATGTTTTCCTCTCCTTCTTCAACTTAGATGGAGTTGAGAAATCAAATGGGGTGTTTTGCTACTTACTGGGTTTCTTCCTTCCTTTCCATTTGGTTGTTTTGGGGATTCTCTTGTCATAAAGAATCAACCAATTAAGACACTGAAATCTTAAGCAATAAAGATCTTAGCCATGTGTTCATGGGCAAATCTTCCATGAGAGCATTTAACTGTGCTACAAAAGTCCAAGTATCTTCATGTGGATATCTAAATCTTTGTGAAAAATTGTACACAGAACTTTTCCGTGAGCTGTTTAACCTAGTTTGAATGAAAAAATTAGTTTAGTTTAAATTCATTTAAAGTTTAATCTAGTTCATTCATATCACACTGCCCTCCAGTTTTCTTCTGTTTCTTGGTATTGTTGGGAAACAGTATTAAAGCTGGATTATTCGGTTACAAAAAAAATATTCCACAAATGCTTCTCGGTTAGCTTTGTAATAGCCAATTGCGGAAAACGGTAATTTTCAGATTAAAGAAAAAATGGGTTTAATTGCATCATTTATTGGATTTAACTTGTATATAAAGACAATCCGTTTCCATAGATGCCTCGTCTGTTTTAAAATATGTATATGAAATGGCATTTCTAAACTCTGTGGGAGGAAATTTCACAAAAAACATATTGTGGAAGAAATGGAAGTAAATATTTTTTGGATTTTATCAAGTGATAAATTTCAGACAGAGATGAAGTCTCCTTAACCAGTGATTGATCAGGTCTGTAGAAAGACAAACAGAAGCAACATATTAGTACAATGGCTACAGCCCAGTCTCTTTCTAGTACTGTGCCTATTTCTGTTTTTGTTGATTGTCCTTTGCTTCAGGTTCCCTAGTCTTCCTGTATTCAGATCTGCATTGGATTTGAGAATTGTGTTCTTCTTATATTAACAAACTAACCATTTTGTTTTACCTTTCAGCCCAGGCCTGTGGGCAACTGGGTACATTCCACTTCCACTGCTTTTGTCTTTGTTTGCTGTCACAGATGGTTAAAACTTCCTTTGTTAATGAAATTGTGGCACAAAACATATTAGTTATTCATAAAAGAAATCCTGAAACAATAAAGACGCATTACTGCTTTCTGAAGGGTATGGTTTTTAAATTACTGAGCCTTCCTTTTGATACTTTCATAACTAAAATATAATCTATATAAAATACAATAATTTATAGAATAAATATTAATGGAAGAGTAAAATCAACAGGTGAATCCAGCAATAAAAAAAACCTTTCTACCACATAGAGGTGTTTCATTTTCCCAAAACCACCCTCTAGTTTCATTTTAACCTAACCAAAATGTATCATATGTATTCTGGGATGTTAGGATATATTGTATATTTCACCCTTAGATAGGTTCATGTTTTGTTTAAATCAGGCTTGAAAACCGCCAGGATATTTCTTATGATTCTCATGAATCTTTTAATATGTTTTGACATAGCATATTGGGTATAGTTACAACTTACGCTATTCTCCATATATAATAATAATAATAATAATAATAATAATAATAATAATAATAATACTTTATTTATACCCCGCCACCATGTCCCCAAGGGGACTCGGGGCGGCTTACATGAGGCCATTCCTATCAATACAGTAAACACAATATAACAAAAACACAACAGAAAATCAGAAAATAAAATAACCTAAAATACAAAACCAGTGTAAATAAGCAACACAACAATATAAAATCGAAACACTAAGACACTAAAAATGATCACCGTGAGCAGGGCCAAATTCAAAGATTAAAATTTTAAAACACTGGGAGACAGGGCAATGTAAAAATCAGGGAGGGGATCCGGGGGATGATAGTATTTAATTACACAAGCAGAAAATAAAGTGCTTCTGAGGGCGTTTTATGCAGAGTTTGGTCAGAGATTATCATACATTCAGTCATTGAAGGCATATTGGAACAGCTAAGTTTTCAGGCTCCTGATGAAGATTGCCAGGGTGGGGGCTTGCCTGATGTCTCTGGGGAGTGAATTCCAGAGTCAAGGGGCCACCACAGAGAAGGACACAAGTGCTACAAAATTATCTAAAGTTAATAAATCTACAAAGTACAATTGCCTTAATAGCAAAGCCAAATAGTGTTGTAAAATTTGATCCTTTTGCCTGAAGTTGTATGTAGCCTTAAATCCTGTCAGGAGAGATTTGTTAAAAGACGCTGGATTGTAGAAATAGATTTGCGCTCCACAATAGTTAAGGGTACAAGTTTTAAGTGATTTGGATTTACTTGCATATGTGAGATGAAAAACAAAGTGTCATTCAATATAAAGTATTCATGATTGGTCATATTATCTGTACGGTCTGCTATTTAATAGATTTATTTTGTTTTAATTGATCACATTTAGGTTTCTTCTAGAAGGTAAACAAAATGATTTGGAATGGCTAAATACCTTGAGATGTTTTGACTGAAAACTGAATATCACCTAATATAAAGTGCTTGTGTATGAATTGGTTATTATCAGTGATTTAATCTATTATGTCCTAGCTTCTGTTAGGCCTAAAAATGTATGTATTTTTAACCAGCTTTTCAGCCTGACAAATTTAAGGCATTTCCAAATGGTAAACAAGATTATCAGTATGGCTAAAAATATCCGTCTGATGAGTATATTTTTGCTACTGTCTGTCTAATATAGACAGTTATACACCAGTCGGTTAAGAGGTAAAACAGCTTGAGCACCAACTAATTAGATTATCCTGCAGAAATAAAAAAGGAAGAAATATTAAGAACAGAGTTAAAGAAACAGATAAGCTTGGTTGCAAATCTATATTGTCTGCTGATGTTGCAACCTGTGGGGGTGTAAAATCTACTTGTCTTAGTCAATTGAGTCATCATAATTGAGGAATATCATCGAGTGCTGCAGAGTTGGGGATCTTATGGCTCGAGGCCAAAGACAGTTTGCCTCTGACTCATGTCTACCCTTTCAAAGCTGCTTAAAGGGACTCTTCCATGCTGAGCAGCTCCTCTGGGGTCTTGGCTCGGTGGTCACTTAGTAGGGACCTTGGTTAGAGGAATATGTACTTAAGCCTGGCTTGAGCCTCACATATAACATGGAGATATGCTGTCAACAAGGGATACCACAATTTTGAGAACAGTTTTCCGTAAGAGTTACCTAGTTCTGAAAACATTTCATCACATTCTTGTTGCAATCTGGATACTGGCTAGAGAATAATTATTTCTAGCTGAACACACGAGGTAGGGGGAAGTTGTGTCTCAAAATTGAAAGCTGCTCACTTCAATTCACCTCCTTCCCTGAGTTCAGCTCAGCCCATACATTTGGGGATATTAGACTCAAAACAGAAATTTTACTCTCTCATAAGTATTGGCATAGTATGAATGTTACCGTCAAGAACAATTTGTGTTTTTTCCTCTTCTAAATTTAGATTGGATGAAATGCTTGCAAATCTTTCAATATGTGGTGTTTAAGAACTTCCTTTATTGTGGTTATCATTTGTTTTGTGATGAAATTCTGTAATCCTGCCCAAAAGTAATGGCAACTCAATTCATTGTATTTGTTCAGAAAGAAGAAACCGGGCTGAGCAAATTCTTTGCAGATGAATACATCTGTGGTTCTAGAAACAAAATATTTTTCAACAGTACACTTGAATTACCTTGGTTTCAGTTATTGAGTAATTTCAAAACAGGAGACACCATTGGTTGAAAGTGAAGTATGTACTTAGTCACACACACAAAAAAATTCATTAGCTGTTCTCCTACCTGAAACAGTAATTTAACTTCCAAACCAAAGTACATTTTTGTTGTTTAAAAACAACAGGCTTGATCTTCCAGTTAGAAAACATCTCACCGTCCTTGAAAGTGCTTTTCAACAGTACAGAATAGACTCAATGCCACCTCTGACACATCTTTCAAGAAGTGTTTTTAAAACTTCTTTTGAAACTATTATGCACAAAGCTAAGCTAATTGCCTTTTCTGAAATGCGTTATTCATAATCTACAGTTCTCTGCATTTGAAGTAACTAATTTTATTTAAACACTGCCTTTCTTGGAGTGGAATCCAGGCAGCTCACAAAATGATCTGTAACTTTACAGTAGATTTTTAAACACAACTTTAAATCAGCACATTAAATATAGGTTATAATTGATGTAAAATAATTTAAGGCAGGGGTCCTCAAACTATTTGAACAGAGGGCCAGATCACAATCCCTCAAATTGTTGGAGGGCTGGATTATAATTTGAAAAAAAGTATGAATGATTTCCTATGCACACTGCACATATCTGTGGTGCTGGAGGAAAGTTCCGAGAGTGCCTTGGACTGCGAGAAGATCCAACCAGTCCATCCTCCAGGAAATAAAGCCCGGCTGCTCACTGGAGGGAAGGATACTAGAGACAAAGTTGAATTACTTTGGCCACATCATGAGGAGACAGCAAAGCCTAGAGAAGACAATTATGCTGGGGAAAGTGGAAGGTAAAAGGAAGAGGGGCCGACCAAGGGCAAGATGGATGGATGGCATCCTTGAAGTGACTGGACTGGCCTTGAAGGAGCTGCGGGTGGTGGCGGCCGACAGGGAGCGCTGGCGTGGGCTGGTCCATGAGGTCACGAAGAGTCGGAGATGACTGAACGAATGAACAACAAGTGCAAAAAAACCACTTTAAAACAATACAATAATTAAAATGAACAAGTTTTAACAAATACAAACTTATTAGTATTTCAATGGGAAGTGTGGGCCTACTTTTGGCTGATGAGATAGGGTGGTTGTTGTGTGCTTTCAAGTTGTTTCAGACTTAGGTTGACCCTGAGCGAGGGCCAGGTAAATGACCTTGGAGGGCCGTATCTGGCCCTCGGGCCTTAGTTTGGGGACCCCTGATTTAAGGCATTCAAAAATTAAAATAGAAAAAACGCACCCATAAGAAGGCTTCCTGCAGACACTTACCTGTTAAAGGCCTGCTTGTACAAGAACGTTTTTGCAAGAAAGCAGGGAAGAGGGCAGCCCAGCTTCCCACAGAAGGGAGTCCTAGAGCCACGGACAAACCTTCCTTATGTTCTCACCAAGCTATTCTATTATGGGCACAGGATCAAGAGAAAGTTCTCTGGATTTTATAGCACTAATAGGTGCACATATTGAAATAGTCTGGACCCATGCTGTACTGGGCTTTTTAGTTCATGACCATACTTTAGAGCTATGTCCAGAAACACTGGTAGCCCATGAACCTGTGTTAATAGGAGCTGTATTCCCTTCTATATGAATGGTATTGATCTTGTACTGCCAAAAGGCAGAGAAGTGATCTTGTAACGCCTCTTAACCAGACTGGTATGCATCTTTCAAATTAATTCTTGTCAGAAAGGAAAGAGAAGAGCTGTCACACATTACAATATTTGCTTTATCTTTTCAAGATATAGAACATAAACGCTCTTTAAGTAATATAGTAGTAAAAATACCTGAATACATGTTACACATGTATGATGAGTACATTCTTGGTGAAAATGTGTCCATGACTTGATTTCTGTGGAGAGCATTTTGGTATGGTCTTCTCCTTGGTAACTGCCCACAGGTAGGTAAATACAGTATGTGTGAGATCTTCTGACAGTGATCTTACTAGAGGTGCATTGTAGTCTGTAAGCTACATAGAGACTCCCAGACCCACTCGGAACAGAAGTTACATTTTCCATTCTAATCCAAAGCGGTCCAACCACTGGTTTAACTGACAGCTAAAACCATTCCTGATTTGTCATCAAGTAGCAGTATTTTGAACTCTTGGAGTTTACAGAATGAGATGTAAGTTATTGCAGTAGTCAAATTTGGATGTGGCTCAATAGCTGGCTTTGGTCCAGAAGATTGGCGCTTGTGCACCATTCTCACCTATTGGAAGGTGCTACTTGAATCAAATGAGAAGGCTAGATCAATTACTCCACTCAAAGGGTGACTCATTTTTGGGACACTTCTAATTCCTGTAAAAACAGGCTGAGCCTTTCTTTTTTTTTGAAAGAGCATGGCATGAAATTTGAAAAATTCCTCCCAAATGCTTCTCCTAAATGGCCTTATACAGCAACCTTTGAAAATAATGCGCTTTTACCCATTAATATCATTTTGGTCATTAGTTTTGAAATGTTGCAATTCTCATAAGTTGATATTTCCTATCTCTGACTAGAACAAATGGCAGTTCTGTCCAAGAGCTGCTGAAGGGTGATCAATTTCCTATGCTAAAAGGATGAGGAAGTGCTTTAGTAAACAGGAGGACTACAACGATTTGTGATGGCCAGCAAAAAAAAATTGTGTGTCAGGAAAAATCATGTTTTTGTTGCTTCCTTTCCCTAACTGGATGCCTTTTGTTTCTCTCTCTTCCTTTAATAATTATTAATCCTGTTTGGAGCAGAATGAGCAAAGCAGCACAAACCTACTCACAACTTCCTTTAGTATGGATTAAACTTACCTGGAGTGTTGAATTTCTGGTGTTCATCTATTTCAGGCATAGGAATTACGAAGCTCTCCAGATCTGAGTAGAGGAGGAAAACAATTGTGTGTGTGCCTGAGATTTGATGATAATTGGAACATAGCAATGGAAGGCTTTGGTGTATTTGAAAGTGTTGATGCAACAATGCATTATATCAAAAAATTTCAGATGGCCTGTAGGGAGAGTATTTGAGGAAAGGTAAATGGAGAAAGGAATAAGTGAAGATGAGTAAGTTAACTGTAGAGCTATATTTTCTGCCCAGATGTTTCTGGTTATGCTCAGTTGTCTTCATCTGCCAGCCTGGGAGACAGTCTACAGAAAATCAGAGAAAGTTCAAAAGCTCTGTTTGCCTTTGCTGACTGTTCTCCGTCCCTCCCACTCTTGAACTTTGAGGAAGTAGAAATAGCATTGGTGAGTCTTCCTTTTGATTGCAACAGGGATTCGATGTGTACAAAGGTTGGGGTGTTGGTAAGTGTTCAAATAACACCTTTTTCTCACAGTATATCTTTTCTTGCAACGATTTGTGCCTCCACATTGTGCAGGATTTACCAAACATAGAGGCATTTGGGCCAAGTTAGGGAGAAGGACAGCTGCTTTCAAGACTGCCTTTCTCATGTAATCTTGGTCTGGATTACCAGAGGCGGCACTGTGGACTTCCAACAGTGCTGTTTGCCAGTTCCTGTCAAGGTCTCTAGACCTACATACCTTTTCTTCTTTGCAATGTTAAACAAAAGGAAAGGGTGAGGTGCGTGGAACTGGTTTGACTCTGCCATTCCCAGACCCTCCCTTTTTAAGCTGCCCTGAACATAACAGAAGGCAGCACCCATGAACTGGGCACTAAATAGAAAGTCTGAATTATTGTTCTAAGACAGTGGTTCCCAACCTGTGATCTGTGGACCCCCAGTGGTCCGCAAGAATGAAAATATAGTTGGTGGCCTCACCATTACTACACCGTTGCCTCGAAACCATGCAGAAACTAGAGAGACTGATCTCGCAAAACCATCTTATAGTGCCGAGGTAACCAGGACGTCGGGAGGGGA